TGTTTGTTTCTGCTCTGTGTGTGTGGGTGAGTGGATGTGGATGTGTGTGTGCTAGGTCAATGTTGGGTGTGTGCGTTTCTATGTGTTGGGTTTGTTTGTGTGTGTGTGTGTGTGTGAGTTGGTATGTGTCCTTGTGTGTGATGATGGTGTATGTGTGCGATATGTGTGTGTGTGTGTTTTCCGCTGCGAGTGTGTGTGAATCTGTGGCGTGAGAGATAAGTGAGCGGCAACATAGAGGGGGCAAGGTGTGAGGTGTATGCTGTGGTGTGAGAGCAGGGGCGGAGGTAGGGTGGGGGCAATGGGGGCAATTGCCCCCACTGAGATTTTTAAAATTTTTGGGGCTACTTTAAAAATACAAAAAAATTAAAAATTTTCAATATTTGTCCCCACTAAATTTTTTTTAAAGTTCATGACACTAAATTTCACTATTCTTTATTTACTCTCTAGTTTTTTCTCTTCTTTCTACAATAACACATTAAGTTACCAAACTCATCCTTCTCTAAATTCGATTATCTAGATATAGATTGATATGTTTAATTAATTATCCAAGTTTAAATATACTATTATATTTTAGAAATTTAGATTTAGCTATACCAAAATTTGACATAATTACACATGCACATACGTGTATATATAAAATTTAGTTTTTTATCAAATTTTTAATATTTAATGGATATGGATTGCAAAGACGGAATCTGATGGATGATCAGATCATATTCAAAATGAAGTTTTCAAATCGAACTTGGATTTAAATCATTCAAAATTTAACGATTGACATGTCTATTTATAGTTGTTTACTGCAACGAAAAACCTGACCAGCTGTGCTCGACAAATTTTATGGTCTTAATTGTACTGTTCAAGTCGGGCCATAATAGATGGGGCCTACCACACCATTTCGGTGTGATCCAAAAAGTCCAAACGTTTAAGGTCATAAAGGATAATTGAAGTTATAAAAATTAATTTATCTTTAATGACACATGCTTAACTTGAAAAAATGCACAATCGTCAAAGTCAATTTTAATACTACACTAAATTTTAGGATATTTTCATTCCTATTTGAAAGGATTTTTTAGATCACATTTTTATTTTAAAATGATAACTGCAAAATTAAAAGATTGACTAATTATCACCATTATAAAAAAGTGAAGCTAATATAATGTATATTGTATATGTATAAAAAATTGACTAATTATCAACATTGCTAATTGTCATTTTTATAATTAAAAAATGTTAGTTATTCACTAACAATCCATTAAATGTATTCAATAAATGATGCTTTAAACATTATCATTAACATATTAGCATAGTAAAACAATTAAACTAAAATTGAAGAGCAAACATAATAAAAAAAAATGAAAATCGACTGGCACATAATAAAAACTATAATCAATATTCAAATAAAAATAAAAAATAATTTTTCATAGGAAAAACAAAGTCAAATGTAGAGCAATTGAAAAAAATTTCACTTGCAAAAAATCATAAATAATAAAATAAAGGTCATTTGAAGAAAGTCTTAATATAATAAAAAAAACTAAATAATTGAAATAAGAAAATTATAGGGTAAACACAAATAAAAAATATGAGCATAATTTTTAGAATTATATATATATATATATAGACACACACACACAAATACATATCATATTTTTTAAAAAAAATTGAGGGTGGGCCCGCGCCCACCCTTGCCTTTGTATAGCTCCGCCCATAGTTGGGAGGAAATTTAAAGCGGAAAGTTTTTTTTTTTTTTTTTTTGTTGGTTGTAAATGAGATACATGGATATGGAAGAGATGAAAGTAAGAAAACTCCTAGTAGCTGATTATTCTATAATTTTAAGAGGAAATAAGTCAGCCCTTTCTTGCTTCACATTCCCTCTTTCTTGAAGCACTATCTTGGCTACTGCGTGTGGAAGTTTTGGGGGCAGAATTGGACCTTCCCGCTTGGTGGCTAATCCCTATTTTGCAAGAGCGTGTGCAGCTCCATTTGTTTCCTTGTAAACGTGCGACAAACTCCATCTGGATTGTTTATTCAGCAAGTATTTTATGTCCTTGATCATTATTTCAATAGTCCAAGAAATTCTATAATGAGGAAGTGTTGCTGCAAAGATCACTGTCTATGAATCTCCTTCCATATTTACATAGTTTCACCCCTTGATTTGCGTCCATAGTGCTGCTTCTCTAATTGCTAAAGCTTCCGCAATTAATGGATCTTTNCCCTTGATTTGCGTCCATAGTGCTGCTTCTCTAATTGCTAAAGCTTCTGCAATTAATGGATCTTCATCCTTAACTAATTTTACCATTGCCTCCACAACTAATTCTTGTTTACTTCTGTCTATAGCTAAAATGTACGCCTCCTCTTTTGTGATGCCTGCGTCCACGTTGATTTTAAGTGTTCTTTCTTATGGTGTCAACCATCCACATTGAGCATGTGCCCTTGCTAATTGCTTTGTGGAACCAATCCCTTCCTGACTTGTACCTTGCATGTGTTCATTAAAGGCCTTGAATACATCTTGGTGGATCCCAGTTAGGTCAGTCTTAGCTCCTCTATACACATATCTTACTGCTATATTGTTTTGACTATCACTATGATTGCTGCAATTGTAGTTCTATAGTCATCTTTATCTTCATACGTTTTTCCATCGTGCATAATATATAAACGGTGGAGAGAGAAATAGTGGGATGAAAGACAGATGAGAGCGAAAATAATTGAAGAAAGAGGTAAGAGATAAAAGGTTAGAAGAGAGAGTACAAAGAGAACAGAGAGTGATTGACGTCAGAGATAGATTGAGTTGATTTATAAATATGTTAAGATACACGTATTCCCTTCCTTAAAAATTTTAAAAATTTAAAAATAGCTACTTCAGACCATACACCTCATATATTGTACTTAAATGAACTTAAAACCTTAAAAAGTACATGATTGCACTTGCTGACAAGAAAAATAACTCAACCATACATGCTTGTAATTTTCACTTAGGTTGGGACTAAAAAATTTCTCCAATTCCACTGGTTAATCCACCCATCTGACACGAAGCAAACGGGCCCCCAGGGTCAAGGACTGGGCTCAAGGCTATGCTTTAGAATAGGCTCATTTTAAGATGAATTTGACAGAGACTTCTTAAAATGTTTATTTTGCGGAGGAGAGGTGTAGGTTTGGAACATACATATGACTAATTTACAAGTAGGTCAATCTCCATTTTTACATTTTCTGTGACATAAACAGTTGAAGCCTCGACTACAACTGACCAAAAAGACAATAAAAGTCATCCATTCAATCCATGACCGCCTTCCACTTCTTGCTCTGTGTTAGAAGCTGAAAATTTAGACTCTTTCTACAAAAATCCTAAAAAATCTGCACATTCACTAGATGTCACCTTTCGTATAAGTTTGATCTCGATGATTTCCTGTATCAATATAATCGAATGGGTTGGATCTCTTCATCAGAATGGGATACTTAAATCCACTCAGCCAAGATGCCAGAGAACCGGAGACTCGCCAAAATTCTTTTGCTTATCCACAGGTGAAACAACTCTAGCATGGTGAAGATCCAAAAATGCCCGAGGAAATAAGAACTACGTGCAACTCAAACTGACAAGAATGCACTCCAATTTTGAAAGAATCATTCATATTATAGTTCCTCGTGTATTACACTTAGCCCATAGAAGACAACAGCCTGCATGTCATAGAAGTAGTACGACTCAGCCGAGAAACTTCAAACATAAAGAGATTATTTCAGAAAACAAAAATCTTTTTCTAAGCTTGCGTATTGGCCAGATAATACATAACCATAAGATGTTATCTCTGTTTGCACCTAAAGGTATTGTGGCCAAGTGAAATCCTCATATGACCGAGCTGCAGCCCGGGTCCAATCAAGTCCTGATCAAGGCTCTGTCACCATTATAAATTATTCTAGTTATCATGCAGCGTTTAGGTGGATAAATGCCTGTTTATTCTAAGCTAGGTTAACTGAGGCAACTATGGTAACCATGCAAGGTGTCACCTCATACTGAAACATTTCTTAGCAGGAAGAAGTATCTTTTGGATGACAACAAATTGTATGAATACTGACCAGAAAACATATGCTGAATATCATAAGAAATGACTGCCCATCAAAAGCTGTGGCCTCTCCTTATCTTCTTCAACCTCCATTGAGGCTTCAGATTTGATTTCCTGAACCCTTTTATCCCAAATTCCATCTATTAGCTTCCAAGTCTCATCACTGATGATTTGGGTCTGCATATGGACATGATCAACTGCAGCATTAGTCGTCAGTGAAATAAAATACAGCAACATAAGAGTAAGGTGTAAATTCTGTACTAACCTCCATGGGACGGGGTGCACCAAAAGTTGAAAACCCCACATTTCCAGGTGCAAAAGTCACCCTCCCTGGTAGTGAAACACCATGGATTCCCCATCGTCCAGCATATATCAGGGCTCCGTATTCATCAACTGGACTCACAGCAGGCTGAATAACGAGCATCAGAATAAAGGATTACGAGTTTTTAAGCAACCAAATATATATTGCGGTATATGAAACAGATATTATCAGATTTGTCCCCCATTCCAATACTGAATGAAGCAATTAGAACCCAAACTTGGACTAGCTTTAAAATCATGATCTATTATGTTGAATGTAGTACATAAGTTCAAGTTAGTCGGAATAAAAGTCTTGAGGATCAATGTCGCACTTTTACAAGATCCATGAGGTTATATCCTTTTCAGTTCCACTCGGTGGCATTTTTCCTGTACCACACTAATATGATTTTCCCCACTTTAATTATGATCTTCATGCAAACATGGTTTTCAGAAAACAAGTGCTATTGCACAATTTATGTCCCAGAAAGCTTTCATAAACCAAAGGTGAAGCAGAAATTGTGAAGCCATGTGTAATTACGCCCAAAAACTTTAAAGGCAGTTAATCTCCTTTGTAAAAGATTGTTCGTGTAGAAGAGTGCTGAATGGCAAGTATAAAATAGCCTTTATGAAATAAATTATGCAATAGCACTAGTTGCTCAAAGAAATAAATTTTGCAACCCTAATATACAAGAGAGAAGATGTAATGGACTGTAGAAAGAGGCCGAGGGGTGGTGCTACACAACGTGCTTCAACGGGTTGGAAGCTGCTTTTTTTAGGCACCGACAACCCAATGGTTTCCGGACCTCCCAACCCGCCCTTGCCATGTAGTTGAGCCTCATGGAGATCCCAGCGCTGGCATGGACTAGCATTACCCAGGGAAGTGAAAGAAGAAAGGTGTTTTCCTAACCAGGAGCTCCTCTGCCACATCAAAGGTGGGGTTTTCATTCTGACAGAAACAAGGGCCATCTGATCAACACCATGGTTGATGAAAAAAGAGGTCGTAAGTACAATAGTTGATAGAGCATCACTGGACTGTTTTCAATTGTAAGCAGTTCCCAACCAACTCTATTGAGTCTTCTTTAGTACATGACGACTTGTCTTGAGCACTGAAAACCTGTTGTCTTAACACGAGAGAGAGAGAGAGAGAGAGAGAACCTCTTTTCTTTTCTTCTACATTTTGCATTACTAAAGTTGATCAGCTAGAAACAACTTCACAATCACAACTGTTGTAGGAACTTGTCAACTGAGATGGCAGGGCACCCGCCCAACAACGTAATAAAAACTGAATTGCACAATATATTTGGCCCACAAATCAAATTGGCTGTATGAGCCACGTCTCATGAGATGGCTAGGACTAATAGTGTGGCATCATGAGATAGCTAAGAGTAACATTGCGGCTTCATGCGATGGCTCATGAATCACAATTTTAAATGTCATGCCACTGCTTTTAACAGCAGAAAACATTAAGCTTGCACTTCCAATGTCTTATGAAGATTTCGTCACAAAATCTAAAGGGTGTTAGAAGGATCTCTCAAGGTTGAGTCTTTGCATCCTTCATAAACATGCACTTGTGTTATATTGTTCAAGCATGTAATCTTACTCCAAATCTAATGCAATCGATCATCATTTTTTTGAATTTTTTCTTTTGTTTCTGTTTATCTCAGAAAATTTATGCATTTCCCTATTTAAAATTTTAAATTTCAATTTTTTTTCATTTTGTTAGTATTTAGATCTAAGATATGTTGGACCATCCAAAGGTCCCATATTTCCATATAAAACAATTCCAAAAATCTGGAAAAAATAAACACATTGATTTTTTTGAATATTCTTACTCTGATTAGATTCATTTTGCCAAATAATATCACTAATGAATGGTAGTAGTCAATTATAGACGTAGGTTGCACCATATACAAATTTCTGGCTTCTATTAAATATCTATTTCTCCATATATCATTAAATACATTATGACGGTAGTGGTTGTTTTTATTAATCTTTTAGACTAACCTAAATTTAATAAATGTTGCAAAAATCCATTTTGTTTGTAATTTCTGAATTTATCATTTTATACTCTTTAAGTTAAATGTCTGTAGAGCATCAGTGCACGTCATGCCATCACACTCTGACATTCCAAGAATCATCTATGTGGCTATTGAGAGAATGAGTGATTCAGTATCTCCAAATTTTGCCTGGGTAACCTGCTCAGAGGAATATCAGTTAGCCTTGCCTAAATACATCAAACAGCATGATGCAAGCGGAGAATATTGTTTCTTCTGAATTGTGATTTTCCCAATTCCCCTTTTTATTTCATTTTCTTTGGCGTAGAACAGGTAGCAAAGCTGAAGCAGATATATGGATTTATAATTAAATCAAGTATGAACTAGTTAATCATTTGAAGTATGGCAAAATTAATCACCGAACAGAGAACAACACTGAAAGAAACATACGAATGGGAGTCCAAAACCCTCTACATCCTCAGCCAAACAAAACAAAGTGCAAAAATATTTATCATCAATTTATCCATAACATTCAATATCCATATCATCTCCTATAACAAGGAGAGAATGAAATTATTTAACGAGACTTGAACAGAATTTCACACAACATCTGATGACTTCAATAATTAAAATTTTGTTTCGAAACAACCGAAACATTTCCGTTTTCAAGGAGACAGAATGGAAACCGAAAAGAATTAGTGATAGAATCGAAATTCTATTAGTTCGAAGTGTTTTATAATGTTTTGAGATGTTTTCGTAATGTTTTGATATATTTATACAATTGTTTCAGCAAGGATTTGGTCATCTAAGAAACAAAAATATTTTTACTCATTATAAAAATGTTTTGACCTGTTTTCAAAACAAAATAAAAACGAATAAAAAATTTGAGATTTATTTTTTTTAAAATATTGGTCAAAATATCTTGAAATAACTTGAAACATTCTGAAAATGCGTCAAAACATTCCAAAACATCTCAAAACATTATGAAATATCTCGAAATATTAAAATTTCAATTCTATCACTGATTCGTTTCGATCTCCTTAGAAATGGAAACGCTTCGACTGTTTCGAAACAAAATTTTAATCCTTGAGTTTCGGAATGTTTCAAGATGCTTTAATATATTTAGATCAATTTTTTGGAGAAATAATTCTCAAACTTTTTATTCATTTGACATTCTGTTTTAGAAACAGGTCAACATTTCCGATAAGTTTCCCATGTCACCAAAACAAAAGTTTGATCCTTGGATGACTTATATGATGTAATGATACAAGACAACCATCAACAAGAAAATTTAAAGTGGCGCTAAACTCACACAATACCTGGGGTATTCGAGGAGCACTTCTATATATGTTCCAAATTTCATCAGCTTTAATCTCTCCCTTCTCAAGCAGAATATCTGCACAGCATAAAAGCATGCAGCAAGACAGTAGTAAGCCACAGAAAACAATGATATGCTACTATCAGGTGGACTTATGTGGCCATCAACCCATCACTTCTAAATTTAAAGGTTGCTACTTTAACTTCCAACTTCCACAGTTCGACAGGCAAATGAGATGTGTGGATTGAACAAACCTAGTTTAATTGCTTGTATTCCTACTCATTTTTTGACATTTTAATGAGATGTTTTTATGTAGTTATTGAGCAAAAAGGCAAACCTGTGATTGCCTCTACAGCAGAATGGTATTCTCTTAGTATAGAGGAACATTTTTCCACAGCAAAACGCATGTACTCATCTCTGAGTGCTTCAAGTTTGGTAGCAAGCTGCAAAAGATGCTCAAATGACTTGGTACAAAACTAATCTAACCAACAGCTAAGACCTAGATATGAGATTTTGGTGCTAAGTTCCCATCCCAAACTCACATTTGGCACAAGATCATTTTTCTTTCTGTAGTAAGCGTTCCCAAATGCTGTCATTCCAGTCTGCAGAATCAAAAATTCTGCAAGTCTTGATGCTCCTAACGTAGCTTTTGCAGAGATCCAGCACAAATTGTCAACGCCAAACATCTCCTCCTCAATTACTCTGGCTACATATTGAAAAGCTACCAGTGACCCAAAAGAGCTAACAAAACAGGAAATGGATTAAGTAGGTACATAATCTACTCAGTCACCTACTGTTCTCAAGGACACAGTCCAGAAACATCAGAACTTAAAATAACAATGAACCCCGTCTAAATGTTCAACATTTGAAAAAATATCCACAAAAGTTCATAGCTCGAGAGTTCAACGTACGAGGTATGCATCTGAAATATCAACAAAACATACTGTTGTACCCTTTGAGACCACGTGACAGGCCAAATCAGCTCATATTCATGATAATTAAGCAGGAATAAACAGATAATCATTGGAAACACAACCAGAGTCTTTTAGTATAGCACTGAAACGTTCTGTTCTCATTATTTCTTGGCAGTACTTAACAGTCTCTGTCTTAAAATCCCGAGAAAATGTGCCATTTATGTAGTATAAAACTATACATACAAATCTCTCATTCACAGTCAACATTTTCAAAAAAATAAATTTAAGACCAACAACCTTAAATCAATTTAAAACTGGTTAATCCCCTAGTCACAATTTTTTCGCTCAACGTTTGACCAACACGTGTATTTATTTTTTTCTCTTCCACCAGGCAAAACATTCAACTTGGAGCATTACACTCTCTCTCACAAATGCATGTCCAGCAAACATCTCCTTCCTCGCAATCTACAATAAGTTAATTAATGGTCTGGACAAACTGCAGAAGGCCTACTTTTTGCATTCTATACAACATATGTTTAGCATCCATGTAGTTACTTTTGCACTATCAATACTTGAATACATTAATTATGGCTTATGCTACTGTTTTCTGACGCTTTGCAAAGACCATCCATGTTGTTCTGCTGATGTCCAACATTTTTTTCTTCAATATCTCGATTGTCATTTCTGTATTCGTGAAACTTCGACCTGATGGTAGACATTGATTTTTTTCTATGCCCATGAATCAAACAGAAGCATGACACCAATCACATAATTGATTGGAATAGAACTTTCAAGATAATGTTCTAGGACAAGACAAAAGTTTCCGTAACTTACGAGCACATGCACACACTATAGAGTTGACATGATCTGCTTTCCTTTTAAAAACCGTGCCTGGCGTCTCCATGTAGCGCATATTTGGCTGGCTACGAATGGAATTAATATCCGTCTGTGGAGGTGCAAGAGACAAATACATAAACAATTTAGAATAGCATGCCTCTGAGTACAGCTAGAATTAGAGAAATATTAAAGAAAAAATTGTGTATAGTAAATTATGGTGTTGACCTCTGTGAAAGGACGATGAGGGTCTGGAAAGTAGCATGACAGAACAGAAACAGCTGCTTCTCGGTATGCCAATCTCAGCTTTAATTCCTCAGGGACTTCAGTACTATCTTCTTGGCCCGTTTCAAATGTTCCCTTTTGCTGTAATACAAAAATGTAGAAATGCATTCATAATCCAAGTGATACTATATAAATCAAATGTCGAAGAAGTTTCATCTTGCATAGGTCACAAGTGCATACCCTCTTCAAGGCCTCAAGAAGTTCGTCTCGTCCTATGTAGTCTAAGTCCTTCCTTGCAGTCAAAATGCCAGCTTCATTCCTGTCAAGTAGGCGTCAGTTTGTTTCTCCTGCTGTTGAATTCAAACACACCAAACAGTAAGAAATAATTACAATATATTCTGCAGTTCTGCTCCAGTAAAATCTTCTGTAAGCTCTGCAATTTCAAGCAACAGTCTCTCCTTCTCCTCTTCTGAACGAAAATATTTATTTCTAGCATGCACCTAAAATTCATATCATAATAAATACAATATAACAACATAAACTTCATGAAGTACGAAATTTTGAAAGAAGGAAATTCATAAAGTAAACCTACCTTTAATATCGCTAATCTACCATCTTTGGATGGCAAACCAACCCTTATAATCTTGTCAAAACGTCCCTTTCTCAATAGAGCAGGATCAAGAATATCTAATCTATTTGTTGCACCAATAACTAACACCTGACAGGCCCAAAGATATTAGTTAAATCTGAATTGTTTCCCTTTTCTTGTTATGGAAAACAACCTATTTCTGCTCAAATCAATGCAAAATTCATATGCATACCTGTGATGTTGAAACTTTAAACCCATCCATCTCAGTTAGTATCTGGAGCAGGCCTTGTTCTCTCTCGGCACCACCCTAGTGAAGCAAACACATGCAGAATGATTTTAGGCAAGTTAATCTCAGGCTCTGCCAATTGTATGCATAATGAATTGCTCAATAAAGTTGCTTAGCGCCGAGAAAGCTGGAAGTTGCAAAACCTAAAGCAGGCTCTGAAATCCACATGGATCATCTGTAGCAGATGGCAATCTTTATAGTCTCAAGTAATGGGGTTCCAGGCAGGATAGCTTGAGTACAAACCAAACCTTTGGCATTATTTTGCACAAAGAGGCTGCCCAAAAATTCATATAAAATAACAAAGGATCATAAAGGCATTTACTTGCCAAGGGAAAGTTTATGACAAGTTTGCATACACTCTTAATAGGATATGGGTTGTATGCCAGAGTGATGGTCACTAAGTTTGTTGATCCTCGTATTTTGAATTGCCCCATGACTGAAATTTTTTGGTAGAAGACTTTTTATTTTGTCTTCCCCTAGCTTTGGGAAGAAGAGGCAAAAAGCACTTAAACATTGCAGAACTTAAGCTGCTAAGCGATGTTTTATGAGCTTAGAGGAGCAAATAGTGTCAGGCTCCTTGAAAAAGAAATTCATATCTCTTCCTCATGGGATTTTCCATGACAACAGAATTCAGGGCACCATTTCTTTGATCATGAGGGGATGGAAGTGTTGAAGCATATGATGCTCATGTTACATCTTCTCTAACAATTTAAGCTTTTTAGCTGAGATGGTGGTTTGACATGGTACCAAAGGAGGACATGTTCAAATCATGTCACCTTGATGATATAAGACTTGCATATGCTTGTCCCAAAATATGGCCCGCTCTTGAGGGGAAGTGTTGACGTATATTTTTATGTAACACTCTTAGTCAGCTTAACCTTTTAGATGAGATGGCGATTTAACATGAAGCTAATGTGAACTTCATGCCACGTTTAACACTTGAAAGTCTAGTGCCCCACCTTCCTATGTGGTAAAATCAAGTTCAACTTATTTTGTTGCGCATTAAGAACCACTAGGATTAGGGCAAGCAATTTCTCTAGGCATCACATTTTTGTATATTTATATCTTTTAAAGCCTTTCTATGGAAAGTTTTACTATGGGCCACTACTAACCATCTAAACCTCTTTTTTTCAAGCTCAACTCAATTCAACAAAACATGTTCCCAACACTTAGAATCAGCCATGAATCTTGTTGCTTTGGAAGATTCAACACTCACCTAGATTCTCCCCAAAAAAAAAAAAAAAATTCACCACTTTTTAATGCAACAACAGAACAACCCACGTCACACCAAATCACCCCATGTTTCAAAAGTTTTGCCATTAAATTCTCAATTTTATATACCCCTCTCATCTTTATTTCCCACTTCCTACCACTACAAAATTATAGAAAGCTCTTAAATACATATTGGATACAACTCCTGTACCTTGGAAACAGCTTCATGTACATCATTCGCTAACCTTTTTTTTTTTTTGACTTCTTACTTATATACGCAAGTGTATGTCTTTTCCTCCATACTAGAAAACAAATCCTAGCTTAAAAATTTCCATGGTTTTATTTTCCCCCTAGAGTTTCTTGTTAAAAACCTACTTTGATTCAACTTCCAACTATTTATCTACTAATTTCCTCGGTAACCCATTAATGTCCTTTTATTCCAAGTTGCTAAAGGAGTCTTACTCCTTAGACTAGCTTCTTCACTTTAATCATACAATAACTCTCCCTGTATAATTTGAAAAAGTAAGGAAAAAAAGAGGAAATGTGCAAAGTGATTTGCCGGGTAATTTACAAATTCTTCGAATTGCATTTATTTTGAGTTAATTATTGTTTTTCTTATTAATTTTATGCTTTGTTGGTATTTTTGTGGTTGATTGATTTATTAGGTAAAATAGGAAAATTGAGTTGATTTCTGACACTTGATAAATTGATTTGATGAATCAAAAATTTTATGGAAATTAAAGGGATCAAAGTGTTATTTCAAAATGTCAAATAGTTGACTGAAGTGAACCCATACATAGGCGCGTCCGGACATAATCACTCTGCCTATACGGGAGTGCTTCAAGACCAATTCCAGAGATTTCAAGGTATTTGGACAAGGTTGTGCGTGCGTACGCTCATTTTACGATACAGTGTGCCTTCGTTAGGACGCGTGTGATCGTTCGGACTCAGCTATGTTGACCAAGTCGAAAGATCAGGATTCAAGGCTTACATCAGGATGCGCATTGTTATAGAGGCGTCGTTCAGAGTTTGACCTAGGAGGATCTCTTTAATGTATTTAGTCTTTATTTTTATAAGTAAAAAAAAAAGAGATCTCTCTTCCTGGACTTAGGGGAGAACCTTTTTATTATTTTGTGAAGATCTTGCTCATGGCTAGTGAGTAATCTTATTCCTATTCTCTAGTTAGGGTATGATTTTCATGAATGAATCTTGAATATTTTATGAATGCAATTATAATTTCCTAGTTCTTGAATGATTTATCTTTTCAAATATTCATTGAATGAATGATTTTATTAAAGTAATGTACTTTGTAAACTTATTTGATTAATCATTAACAATACTTATAATTCCCCACGAGTTTACAATAATACTTCTTAAATTCTCATTTTCTTTTCAATCAACCTTTAGTTTTCAAAGCTATATTTTTTTGTTAATTACACTAACATTGGAAGTTAACTGAGATAAATTTATTATAATTGCATAAGTATGATATTTGATTTACATGAATGATACCTTATCCCAAAGCTAGAGTATAGCCTTCTTTCATAGCAATTTCCTTTAAATCTATTCAAATTACTAACACTCAAATTCTCTTTAATCGTTCTTTCTTTTTACCTTCCTAATTCCAAACCAATTTCCCTGTAGATTGACCTCGATCTTACCGAGTATTACTACTTCTTGACCACCAACACTTGGATGTACCTTTTTGGATCAACCAAGTTTTTGGCGCCATTGTCAAGGAACTTGAAAGGATACGAAAGCAAAAAAGAAGAATTTGTCATCGCAACAAGCTATTTGGAGAATTCAACTTTTTCAGGTAACCTGGTTCTATATTTTAAATTTTTGTTAATTTTGTTTGTTTTGTTTAAGTTTTATAGATTTTGTTAATCTTTGTTTTTTATTTCTAGTTGTTTTAAGTCACAATCTTCATTTAGAATATACTTGTATGTGGAGAAAACTCGGATTTTGATATTGAGTCACCATTTAAAGAATCAGTAGGATCCGTGGGTTCATCTTCATCTTTAGAGTCTGATGAGTCGGTCCTTACCCTCAACTTTAATCTAAGTCGAATTGGCAGTGACATATGGGAGAGAACGTGAATAACCAAAATCGAATAACCCTAATCGTGCTCAAGAGTTCGACCAACAGGTCCGAACTCTTAGGGATTATATGCACCCCAAAAGTAGCAATATCTCGTCATGTTTCGTTTTCCTTGTCAATGCCCAGTGGTTCACAGTGAAACCTGGTACAATCCAGCTTTTGTCACAATTTTATGGTCTCGATTCCGAAAATCCTTATCTACACATGAAAGAATTTAAGGAGATATACCGGACCTTTCAAGATAATTCTGAGTTCGCCAAGCTAAAGCTTTTTCCTTTCTCCATGAAGGATAAAGCCATGCAGTGGCTTAACATTTTAAAACTACATTCTATCCCTGATTGGACTGCACATCAAAAAGAATGTTTCAAAAAATTCTTCCCCATCCATCACACTAATGCTGTAAAATGTCACATCATGAACTTTTCTATGAAGGATGGAGAGACTTCCTACCAGTGTTAGGAGAGATTCAAAGATCTCCTCCAGGAGTGTCTGCACTATGGATTTGATGGACTATGGTAGGTTTTTTCTATAACTCTCTTTCTATCTCTATGCGCCAATTCGTCGAGCTGATGTCATTGGGAGAGTTCATGGATAAAAATCCTGATAAAGCTTTCGAATTTTTGGACACATTATCTAAGAGTTCCAGATGGGGGACTCGGTCTCCGCAGTTAGTTCAGAGATCAGAACAACTACTTCCCCCGGGAAGTATTTATTGAGAAAGGAGGATGATCTAAGGACAAAGATGGCTTCTTTGTCTCAAAAGCTAGAGATGAAGAAAGTCAATGAGGTGTCTATTGTACCTCCCACCGAACATACATGTGGAATATGTGTTTTGGTGGGGCATTATACTAAGGAGTGTCCCATGATTCTTACTTTTCAGGAGGTGTTATTAAAAAACTCCAATGTCGTCGCCTCTTTTCAAACGCCATATAATAACCTCTACTCTGAGATGTATAATCTAGGGTGGAAACAACACCCGAATTCCCAACAAGCATACATGTGCAAGCGCATGTCAAGTTTGGGGTAAGAATTACATATATACACATGCAAATATTCCATGAAAGCATGTGTGACAAGTTTAATTACAAAAAGAAATAGTGACCAAAAAATGAGGCGAGGTGAAAAATACTTAAAAATTAAAGGTGTAATGTCAAAAAAATTTAATCGAGAAGGTAAAGAGAGATTTTAGAGAAACTTGAGGGGTAAAGTGCCCCTACATAATAAAGTGTTCCTACTGACACATGCAAAATTAGATAGTCCAATAACACATGCAATGGCTCAATTACTTAGTACTCATATTTGCAATTGGCAGACTACATGCTGCAGAAGAAAAACTGCAAAATCCGATTAAATATTAGAAAGGAAAATAGTTAATGGGCAGTCCGATGATGATCTGATCCTTCATAAAGCCCATAAAGTACAATAGAAGCCTAAAAAACTGGTTGTGGAAGAAAAGAGCAAGAAACTAAAGGAGGCCTTTGGAAGTAATTGTTCATGTTGCATGCTTACTTTAAAAAGTTATGTTTGCTGGCAAAGACGAATAAGTTTCAACCACTGGCTTCAAAACAATCAAATTCTACAACTCAATATGACAAGTATAAGAAAACAACAGTTTGTAAATGGACAAAAAAAGCACAAACATATTTTTCATACCCCACCAATATCAGGTCCACCACGTTTGCTACCAATGGCATCTATCTCATCAATAAAAATGATCGAAGGAGAAAATGATCTCGCACTAGCAAAAAGATCCTTCACACGAGATGCAGCCACACCAACAAACATCTGCAGATATGAGCTATTAGGTAAGCCAGTTCTAACTTCTAACTATTCCAACCAAACATATTTCAAAATTACTATTAAGAAAAAAAAAACTACTTCATTGTTGTTCCCTAGAGTTTACCATATTAGAAATCAGGACTGACCTCCACAAAATCGGTGCCATTAGCTGCAAAGAAAGGAAGTCCTGCTTCACCAGCTATAGCTTTTGCAAGAAGTGTCTTACCAGTTCCAGGAGGTCCATGAAGGAGCACACCTTTTGGGCAATAAATGCCTTTGTTTTGAAACTCTTCATCATTCTTCAGTATTCGAACAATCTCTTGTAATTCCCTCTTTATGTATTCCTGCCCGGCAAAATCATCGAATGTAACACCAGTGGTTTGTTCTGCTGATATGAATTTTGCCCTGTTACAATGGCAAATAAAAGGATTATCCAAATGCTTTATTAATAGAAATCACCCCTCCAAGTAAATACGTAGAATTGTTGCATAAGATTGACAAGATACAATTGCAAGAACCCACACCGCACAAAAAACATTGGGATAAGACTGACACATTTATTGAAAACCCTAGTCATAACTCCAGGCCGCTTATTAGCACAATTGCACTGTGAAAATCTAAAACAAAATATTTCAGGTAGGGTAAAGTGTTTACATAGGATACCATAGTACAAGATATACCCACAACAACGCAATGGAGAAAATTAAGGCAATTCTTAATACACCTATAAAAAAACTCACTTCTCTTACAACAACAGTTTTAGTACTTGTTGAGAGTATTATTATATTTTATATGGTTGTAATAAGTATACATCTCTAAGGGTACACTAGTCTTTTATGTTTTCTTTAGGTAACTATAAATATAAGTTGACAGGGAGAGGTAGGGTATGTGTGACTACTCTCTGCCTCTCTCATATTGGTTTCTCTCATAATTGTTCTCTCTCCATCCTCCAAACCTATCATATTATGGATCCAAATTTGACCAAAAATTTGCTTTTGATATTGAATAGTTGAAACCCCAATTTCTTTTTTCTTATCCTTTTCTTTTCTTATGTTCTCCCTACTGCGTGACCCACAACCATGGTCTAGGGTTATGTCATCTTATGCCTAACCAGTGGTCGTGGGTGGTGTCTGAACTTCGTTGTCGATTGGTGATGGATTCTCGTNGTCATCTTATGCCTAACCAGTGGTCGTGGGTGGTGTCTGAACTTCGTTGTCGATTGGTGATGGATTCTCGTTGCTGTCGTTGTTCTCATGTGTCCAAGCGTTGGAATGGAGGTGTTGATGATCGATCATGACTTGATCGATCTTGGTTCGTTGTACCCCTTTTGTTGCTTGTTACAGCAGTCTAGTATATTTAATTCTAGAGTTAATTTAGTCATTTTCTTTGCTCTGTGTTGCCCTAGGGTTTTATTATGTATCTAAGGCCTTTATGAATTCCACAAACTGATATGTCGTAATATTATTATTCTTTTCTTCTCTTTTCTTTCTATTATTTCTTGTCTATTTGATAAAAGTTCACAGGGTATTAGAGCAAGTTGTGATCCCAAAAACACAAATAAGAAACCACAGAACTCGACAGACTATTTTTTGAAAACATACTAATACTAAGGCTGACGTCATCATTGTGAGCCAACGAGACCACCATCCTACTCAATTTTTGATGGGTTTCTCATTGATATACTTCGTTTTTGATTTTGTAACCATCTAGAATTTTTGTTGAAATTTTTCAATCTGAAAATTTGGAGGGATTTCTTTGAATTTGAGGCTCGAAATCCTGCCTAAGGGGTGCGATTTGGACCTATGGGTGTTCCATTAGTTGATTCGAAGTAGTTGCAGTGGATTTGGGTTGAGTTTTGGCCAATATGAGCCTCGACAATCCCTGTTCTGGTTCGTTGCCCACTGTACTGCTTGTTCTTCCTTCTTTTGTCTTGGTTGCTGCTTCTCTTTGGTTTATAAGCTTGGTGCATTGCATATGTTCAGAGTTTCTTCTTGGTTTAGCTTGGTTGAATGCTGCTTTTATTTTTGTGTAGGTTGATTTACTGGGTTGTATCTGGTTTTGCTTGGTTTCTTTCGGTTTTTTTGTCTTGCAACTGCTATGATTTGTGGTGCTAACCTAGTGATCTTTGGGCTAACTACTAGAATTTGACTATCATATTCGAGTGGGCTACTACTTGCTTCTTGTTGGCTTTGATTTGGGTTTTGAATTTGGGTTGATTGAATATACACAAATTTGGTTCAGGTTGCAAGTTCCTAGTTGCTGGTCCTGAATTGGGCTTTGGTCTGTTCTCTCTTGTTGGCTTTGATTCCTTTGAATTTTGTTGAGTTGGTTCAGGTGATTTAAGCTTGTAATTTGCCATATTGTTGATTCTACCCTTGTATCTTAGTGAGATTGCACTGTGTTGAATCACATTTGCACTTGGTTACTTTTCCACAGCTCTTGGTGTTTGGCTATTTGGGTTGTTATTACTTTTAGCTATTCGTTGTAGGTTGTTTGTAATTAGTGGACTGCTTCGTCTGTTATCTTTCTGATTTGATACCTCGCTGGACTTAGTCTAGGACTTCTTGCTGGTTTTGGATTTCCTGTTGCCATAAACATAACTGGTGAAAACTCTTATTCTAATCAGTTGCAGCAACTTCTCTAAGTCCAGAATCCTAATAATGCTTTCTCAGTCTCTCCTTTGGTAGGTTCATTCATTTCGAGTCTTTAAGGTATACCTCAAACTGTCAGGATCTTTGACTCAGTACGAAGAACTAAATGACTAGTGATTCATCTTTATTTACTTTTATTACCTCTCCTCCTGCTGTATCTGTACTTGCAGCCAATGGGACTCAAATGTCTGTGGCTGGTATTGGGACTGGTATTTCTTCCCAACTTACTCTTACAGATGTCTATTACCTTGAATTTAAACTCAACTAATCAACTTTTTGATTCTAGACAAGATACTAGATGGAGATATTGTAACACCATTTGTGAAATTTGAAAATCAAGTTGCAGATATGTTCACCAAGAATCGTATTCGTCTTACAATATTTTGTTCCAAACTTGTATTATATTTTCCCTGGCAAACTATAAATATAAGTTGAGAGTGAGAGGTAGGGTATGTGTGACTACTCCATGCCTCTCTCGTATTGATTTTCTCTTATAATTATTCTCTCTGCATTCTCTACACTTAACAGTACGAAGAACTAAAAATCTAGTTTTGTTGAAAGGAACCACGTAAAACAAAAAGGAAGGACAAGAGATGCTACAGAACCCGGGAAAGAACAGAGGCTTGACAAAGGAAACCCCCCTTCAGGTACTCCCCTACCCAACCCCCTTGGAAAAAAAAAAGCAAGAAAATCCCAGGAAGAGAAAAGGAACCAACCACCAAATATATATGGCTTACTACTTCATCAATGAAAGAGCACCCAAAACAAGTATGAATTATGAACTTTCCTGTGATTAAATATCTTGGTTGGGTAGCCAAACATAAATTACTTGAGAAATTTGTCAAACATAACTCCAGATTAAAAGGAGTGCACAATTGCCAAAAGGAAGTAGTATGATGCAGATGTCATCAGTTTTAAATATTCGATCTGCAGCTTATTTGATAGACTATGAAAAACTTTAGTTATCTTATCGTATTGTAGGAAATAAACACCTTAATTTATACTCGTAAAATGATATAATGTAAGCTTGCTCTATCACTACTCACTTCAGAAGCAAAATCATATATCATACATTAAGGGCATATGAGTACAGCCAACAAAGCTATAGAGCCCGCATCTTGCATCTTGCAACTTGCATAACTAGACACAGCACAAGGCAATATCATGTTGAAAATTCTACCACTAGCAAGCAATAAGCTTCCAAATAAAAATTATTTGCTTTGAATTAATAGAAATAATCATCCGGAATTATCTCCCCAAACAGTGGGAAAAATAAGGGAGGGCATAACTATAGTAGACTCTGTTTCTCTTCTTTCTTAATCGAAACAAATAAAAGGACATAGAGAAAATAACAAAAATCGTACTCTATTCCCCATCCTATGATACTCTAAACTGTTAAACATGTAAATTCAAAGATGTCTGCAGGACAGATAGTTCTTCAACTCTTTGGACATAATAGATTTGACAGAGATTTATGCCACAAAATTTGAGAAACTTCAAGGTAAAGGTGCAAGGAGAACAATTTATAATAACCAATTCTTGAATTAATCCAAAACAAAAACAAATAAGCATGCATTGTGCAACAATTACTTTTTTTTTTCTTCTTTTTTATTGGAAGGTACAACAATTACTTTAGTTTAACAAGAATTAGCACACAAGTTTTTGTGACTTTTTAAAGATCTACTTCAACCAAGATCGTACAGATATAACTGGCCACAAAAAGCACAGAGATCACGATTATACTACAACACTTTTGACATACAAGAGCACATCTCAGGGATCAAGCAAACTCATGACTCAGCGAGGCATGACCGCTGTCATGCAAACTGGTCTTAAGGACGTTTTATTTGCTCAATCAGATCCCCAATATTGCAACAAGTCTTGGGAATAATAAAAGAAAATTTTTCTCAGGCACAAGAGATCACTCAAACCAATAAATCACTCGTTACTTACCGACTCTTGCCTAATGATCCAAGGGCACGGCGCTTGAGTGGCTGCCTTGTCATTTTGGGAGGAGTACCCAAATCAGTAGGTATTAGTTTTGCATAAATTGGTCTCATCATGTTATCAATCCAGACGTACAATCCAATGGCAAGAGCAAGCCGCATAGACCACACGACTGCAGTTGCAACAGTAGAGTAGACTTCTCCTGGTACCGTATTCATATTGAAGACATCAACATTTATGAGCTGCTGATGCAACTTACGCCAAACATCATTCCAGCAATCAATTGGCATACGGTCAACCGCATGGCGCCGGAAAATGATTTCCTTCTTAGAATCTCCTGGTTCTTCCATTTTTCCATCTTTGTAGTAAGGCAGAATCACTGCAGATATAGAACCATGAACAATTTTTACTTACAAGATTTCCAGGAAGTAAAGGAAAAAATGTACAATAAACTTAAACAATCTGCCAGCATTTCCATAAATCATGTTAATATGTTTTCTGAGGTTATGCCAATAGAAGAGACACACCAGTTAAATCCAAGAATTTTTTACAAAAACAACTATCTCATAGAACACATGAAGAAGAAATGTGTTAAATGCACATCAGAAAACAACGTGCACACAATCAGATTTCCCCACAAATAGAAATAACTGCAGCAAGATGATTAGAACTGAGGAATGTAAAAGGAAAATTTCAACTTAAGAGGGAGTGGCTAATGAAAAGAACAGGAGACAATGCGGGTAGGAGACAATGATGACGAAATAACACTTCAGCCGATTAATTTCAGTTCATTAAGTTTAGTATTTTACTTGAGACTGGATAGAAATTCAACCTAAATTCATGTTATCACTAAAGTTTTGATTTAAGATACGTGAACCTCCATTGGTTCTTTTAAAGTGGGGCTGGAATTTAACCAAAAAGTTTAAAATGTGTTTCTTAACCAAAAAACTTTAACCAAAAGATTAAGTTTCAAAACTTGTAAGAAACTAATGCCATGCAAGCACCTGTACCATTAGATTGTTGGTAAAAGCAGCAAAAAGTCATATTGAATAAAATTCATAGAGCTACAGATAATAAATGGCATGAAACTGCTGAAACATTCATTAGAACAACTACAATAACTAGATGTGTAAGGAGCAAGAAACTGACATAAGATGCATGCAGAATGCATGCGTTGAGTAGTGCTCATTCGCTTAAATCTTTTTTAATCAATTCAAGGTGCAAAATTACCATGTGTCTATTTAGGGCGTGTGAAATTGTATTGCCCTGCAACACAACACTGTCAAAGTTATTACTACCATTATCAATGGTATTTGCAGTTCATAGCACAACCCTTATAAAAGAAAATATTTTACAAGAAAAATACAAGAAAAGAGCAACAAGGGTGCAACCATGTGCATACGAGGTACAAAAACACCAGACAAAAGCAAAAGAACAGAGCCATAAGAAAAAGGGCTTCTTGGGTTGAAGAACAAAACGCATATCATCTTCTAATACAATATCATGTCTGCATTATGTGAAGTATGTTTCTTGGATTGGTTAAGGTTAAGTTCAAATAAAGAACACCCAAAACCAACATGGTCTTTCCTATAATAAAAGAGTTGCATCACATCTACTTATTAGTATGCTTTCATTGTACTAAGACTGGTGCATATCTCAGAGTATGATATAACATAGGTCCTGGGAGATCAGAACTATCATCAATATTTCAACCAAAATGGTAACAGTACACTAATGCATCTTATAAGGTAGTTCACAATCTAGGGTAGAGTATATTATACCCCTATGAAAGAAGATTACCATAGTAAATAAAATTGAAGGACATTTTTTCTGATGTCTATGTTTAGCTAATAGATTTTACAATACTATCTAATTAAATCTTTTTACTTTCTTTTGCAAAAGCAAAATGGATACAATGCAAAATTAAGTGGAAAAAAAAAAATATGGTGGGAATATCTTTCTGATATATCACTATTGTCATTTACATATTTAAAATATTCCCACTGACCACTACCATCAACAAATTTCATTAAATAAAAACTAAGTTGGTCCCACCTACAGTGGATTCCCTAGGGGTGGACAGACTACAAGTGACATTATCTTGCAAAGTGGCAACATTTTGGGATCAGACCTCAGCCCTTTGCAGATTGAGCTTCTACCATTGCACCAATCAACAATCCAGCAAAATTTCATTCAAGCAAATATTGTCCAAATTGGTACCAACTTCGTCCCAATGTCAACGTTCCTGTGCCATATCTTTATTAAAACCCTTTTTCCTCCCCTTTTTGAATGACCAAATTTCTAAGACCAGCCACCCCTTTTCCTTCATCTATTGTATTTTTTTTCGCTCCCCATATATGCACACAATAAGTGTCCTGCTTTTAGAGTGAATGACTGCATCAATTGATTATATGTTAAACAAATACTAACTACTAAGTAAATATTAGGATGTTTCTTGATTTTGATCACTTCCAAGACAGATAATTAATGATTTGAGTCACTTGAAAATCAACAAGAGCTTCCAAGTAACATGCATCAATCTCTTAACATTTCTTTTTTAAGACTTTCCTTTTGTAAACCTCTACGAACAATAAGTTATTATGGAAGTTTAATCCATAAACCTTGCTATTAATTTTAAATTATGACCATAATTTCACAACAATCAAATCATTAGCTGTTCACTTAATTCTACATGTACAACATATTACATGCCAAGGAACGACATATAAAGTCATCCGGGAAAGAAATAAGCACCAATTGTTGCAAAAAAAATACAAAACCTGATATTGTCTGCCCATAATTTGAGTATTCCATAAATTGGACATTATTTGAATCAAGAAGTCTCCGAAATTCGCTGTAGTCTATCCTGTGTGAGTTCTCAGGGTCCCACTCTGTTCCCTTCAACTTTCCCCGCATGGTCAACAATGCCCTGCTCCAATCTGAAGCCATGACAAGCTGCCTCTCTAACTGAACATTTGCTTTTCTATCAAGTTCTTCTAATTTGTTTATCCGATCTCTCTCTGAATCTTTCAATCTCTGAACAAGCATATTTCAAAACACGAATTTAGAAACTCATTTTCCAGGCATAACAACCAAAATCACAGATCATATTCAAAATTCACATCACAGCATCTCAATGTCTTGTCACTCATGCAATGAGAATTCTCGAAGTCTCCTAAAATAATAAAAACCACAAACTTTAAGAAGTTAAAGTGCAATTTCACACACTTACTCATAGACCCCTGTAAACAACCATAAATGGATTAAAACTCTTCCTATCTTCTTTACCTGCATTTTGATATTATTATTCTGATTGACCACAGAACCTACACTATATTTGCAGTGACGACAAGTTTCTAAAATGGCTAAAACAATCGTATAATATCCTAGTTAACAATAATTAAAGCTTATTATTATGAGCTGCAATTTTCCAATGTAAAAACATATTTAAATTTTTTAATTAAAGAAAATAAATTGCCAAAACCCCATGTATTATGACGCTGTCCAAAAACAGCAGCATTATCAATGAACTTTTCTATGTTTCCGGGACAAACCAATCGCGCCAGGATCCAGAACCATTGCACTCATAATATGATGCAAATAGTGGGATGTATAATACTTGATTCACAATAAAGTATCAAGTCAATGTCAATCATCTCCTTTAACAACAATAATGGACTCTCTCTGATTGTTTTCCAAGAAAATGCTGGAGAAAAATGATAAATTCCACAGTTCATCTATTCTCTTCTTTTAATTCGTTAAATCCCAGAGCAGCAAAAACCACATTTTCTTTTAGTCTCTTTCGTTGCCTTCCTTTTCCTTGCAACCAAACAGTGAACAATTCGGATAAAATAAAAATGCTGGGTTAAATTCGTGACCCACCTCGAACAACTGAGCTGACTCGGCGTCTTCTTCTTGGGTTGTTGATGATTCGACTGAGTATGAATTCGAATTTGAAGCTCTACAAGCCCTGATTTGGAGTCTATTGTGCTTAATGAAGAGGGGTTTGTGGGTTTTAAACGGTAAATTTGTTCTGAAAGCATGTGTTGAAGAAGACGAAAATGGTCTGAGTGGTAGGGTTTTAGGAGATAAGGGTTTAGGGAACTGGGTTAAATCAAATATCTGCGACACTTTGTATATCATCTTTAGACCATCAAGTGAATGAGCTGTCCCTTACCTCCCCTCCTCTCTCTCTCTTCTCTCTCTCTCTCTCTCTCTCTCTCTCTCTCTCTCTCCCTCTCACAGTGAGTCTGTGTGTGCGAGTCTAGCCTCTTCTGTGTTTATCTTCATACTCAGAGACTAAAGCCGTCTTGCCAAAGGTAATTTTCTGACGGAGTAAAACGGCGTCGTCTTGTGAAATCACTATTCACTGTTTGAGGGGAAGTGGAAAAAAAAGAAAAAGAGAACAAAGGAAACGAAGTTAGGAGTGCCAAATTATCGGTTTGTTATGGTGTTCTGCTGTGTTTGATGAGTAGCATTTTAAATTCATGTTGAATATTAATGTATATTAATTTAATGTGAAAATTAGTCAAAAGTTCAATTGGATAGTGTTTTAAATTATGAAATTTAAGCACAATACTTTTAAGGTATTCAGAATATGTGAGTTATTTTTTTTTTATCCTCTAATTCAATCTATTTTTTTTAATGACCAGTTATTTTTTAACTCATTCACATTGATTTCGTCACAAGTCACTTCTATTCTAAAAATAATACTAATTCTTCTTCTTCTCAATCACACACAGAAGAATAAGTTTTGTTCAAGAGGTATTTGTTCGTATAACTTCGAGGTAAGGCCGTCAAAAGAGAAAAAATCTCTTTCACTCTCTCACATCTCTCTCTTGGGGGGAGTATTTGATTGGATTTTTTTTATGTTTCAGACTGAGAAGACCATCTTGAAGCAGCCCCAGATTTTCCTCTGGTAAGATATACACAACTAACTCCATTTACAAATACAAAAAAGTGAATCAATGTGTTTGTGTGAATCAATGTGTTTGTGTATGAGATCAATGTGGTGGGACACTTGGTGTGAACTTTAAGAAGTCGGGGAATGGCAAAAGGCCTGGAAATGGAGGGAATCGGAACTACAAGAACATTGGGTTAGGCTTCAAAACTCCAGGAGAGGCCAGCGAAGGTTAGAAATTTAATTATATGTATCTATCTATATTTATATCTATATTTATCCTATTAATAAAAATACTTTAACATGAAAAACTTTTGATTCACTATTTTTCTCTCATAAAGAATTAAAAATGTCATTTTATCCTTCCACACTTAATATGTAAATTGTCATTATATCTTTATGCATTTAAATTTCTAAATTTCATATAAGACCACTTTTAATTATATATTTCCTATGTATAAATGTCAAGTTTTATGAAACTTTTTGATTGATTATATAACTCTTAAAAAATATATGCATCGTTATAAGTTTTAACAAAATATTCAAAAAAATCTTCAAAAATTTCATCAAAATAATATTACTCACATTATTTATAAAGATAATACCAGTGTTATCAAAACCGGACCGGACCGGCCGGTCGGACCAGTTCAACCGTGAATCGGGACCCTAACCGGTCCGGTTCCTTAGTTGAACCACTTAAGGAAGCGAACCGGCTAAAAAGCAGAAAATTGGCCAATTTTTATCAAAAATCATGAACCGTCGGTTTTATAATAACCGGAGGGTTTAATGCCTATTTAAAAATTAAATTATATAAATAAACTTTTTTGCTCTAAATCAGTAAATAGTTGATTTTTTTTAACCTTATTCTTAAAAAAATTATAAATGACACCCCTTCTTTTTCTTTATAATTTACTTGAACCTCTTTACTTTGCTTTAAAATACAACAACCCCCACTTTGTTACTTAATTTCATTAATTTTATGGCAAATTTTATGTATTTTATACATATTTTATATTTTTTAGCTAAATTATTAAGTTTTATAATTATTATATATATTTTTTTATTTTTTTATTATATGACCGGTCCGACCAGTTGACTCAACGGTTGAACCAGTGAACCATTGACCCGGTCCCCTTGCCGGTTCGATGACCGGTCCGGTTCTGATAACATTGGATAATACTATGACTACATATTTATATTTTATTAAAATATTTAATCATTTCATTTTTAAGATAAAAAATAATATATATATATATATATATAGTTTTACGTGATTTTTTAGTCACAGTAAACTTTTCAGACTGTATTAAAATTTTATGTGAAAACTTGATTTTTTTAAAAATTTTAATATGCTTTATAATATATAATATAACATTGTATATGAAACTTTATCACAATTGACCTAAATAATTCTAAATACATAAAGGTTCTAATATGATTGGTGAAAGGCCTAGGCCAGTTGAGACCCAGCTCAAGTAATAAGTCTCACCCAGACAAGACTCAACTCAGATAAAGGGGTTGGCCCGAACAACGCCCAGCTCAAGTAATGGGTCCGACCCAAACAAAGTCCAATGAGACTGACCAAGATGAGACCCAACTCAGCTCACCACGAAGTCAATGGAGCACAATCAGTCACGCCATACTAGAGTCAAGGCACACTATCCTAGAGCCGCGTTATCTTAGAGACATGTTATCCTAGAGTCAAGGAGTCATCCACGTTATACTAAGATTCAGTTTACAGCTGATAAAGAGATATTCATGTCATCTCCAAGCAACTACTCTGTTCATTGCGAGAATGATGTCACTTCCACTGAATTAGCCTATCTGTTATGATTATGGCGCCTTAATCTATTATGAGACGCCTATAAATTGTAAGTCTCACCTACACATGGGCGCATTTTACATCTTATCTCACACCTGAGCTCTCCACACTCCTACAATAATGAAACACCCCGACAACCAAGGCTCTTCAAAGCGGAGTAGATCACTCTGACATAATCGCTCTATTTCTACCATATTTACTGCATTTTATTAATTATACTAATCACTCGACAAAGTGGAACATAATCATAAAACCGATTTATGCATCATCAGTTTGACATCGTCTGTGAGAACGACAAAGGTTTCACCCAACCACCTTTTTTTGTATCTATGACTATCACCATAAAATCCATTAATCAGCCTAAGGACAATCCACCACGCGAGGAGGAGGTCATAGCTCCCCTAGTCAATCCTGTTCCTAACTCGCAACAAATGTTATTAGAGACATTTTAATAGCTAGTGAGCCAAAATCAGTAGATCCTTTAGTTGATGCTCGCTGGGCAAGGAGATACACAGCCAGGAGAGCACCAAGTCAGGGGGAGCACCTCGCCCAGGGCGCCAAGGAGGTCCCAATTGTGTTCCAAATTACTTGTTTCACATTTGAGAAAGGAAAAAAAATTATGTTAGGAAACATATAATACGTAAGAAATCAAAAATTTGTAGCCAATATCATGTTTGATTACCTTCTTTATGTCAAACACTTGATATCTTGAAAAGATAAATATGAACAATGCAAGGTTTGAGAATTTAATAATTTGATTTAGCCGATAAATACTATTTATGACAAATGGGTATTTCACATCAAAGTATTTGAAATGATATTATAGGAAGCAAAACACACACATTACCAAGAAACCCGTTAATCTGAATACCGAACTACAGCTAAGTCTGCANAGCACACACATTACCATGAAACCCGTTAATCTGAATACCGAACTACAGCTAAGTCTGCATCTTTAAACACACACCTGGCCAAAAAATTTAGGAAATAAAAACTACAAACCAACACCAGTAGTGAATGTAAAAAAAAAAAAATAAGTAAAAAAAATTGACATACTAGCTTGTTGAAATCGTTGCCTTTGTGGAGTTGTTCATTCCAGGCCACACTTGTCCCTTTTTGGGATTCTCTCTCCCCTATCTCGCACAAACTTCACAAAATCAAAGTGATTATCACGCAAGGAATGTCTCTGCTTTGCTTTGTACACAAAAGTGCAACCTAATCAAGTTGAATCAATACGTCAATCATCTCAATTCAAGGAATTCGCCTTCCAGTCAAACCAAATCTCAAACCCAAAATATCCATCCACAATGGCCAAATCTCAAGCCTACAGATCATGAAAATTAAAAATAAAACAAAACCATGATTCGGATACTAAANCGTCAATCATCTCAATTCAAGGAATTCACCCTCCAGTCAAACCAAATCTCAAACCCAAAATATCCATCCACAATGGCCAAATCTAAAAGCCTACAGATCATGAAAATTAAAAATAAAACAAAACCATGATTCGGATACTAAAATGCAAGACTAACCATGGCCAAGCTCACATAAAACCCCTATCGTGTTGAATGATCTGACACTTGCAACATAATTAACCAAAATGCAACCCATGCAACAGGTTTAATAATGGGTAGTGTCGGTGTTGACACAACCCACGGTTTTAGTTCATGTGTCATGTTTAGGTAACATGACTCGTTTTATCTATTTACCTATTTGAACCTATTAAACTCAAATGAATTCCTATTATTTGTACAAATTATTCATTCACATCCATGAAAATTACTAAGTGAAAATAAAATGCAGGCAAAAATACAATTTAATTCCATAATCCTAAGTATATTTCTTATTGCAACAAACCCAAGTAGTCGAACAAAGAGATGATCCCATGGGTGTGCTGTGTTTGAAGAAAAAAGAAAGTTGCNCCATCGTGTTGAATGATCTGACACTTGTAACATAATTAACCAAAATGCAACCCATGCAACAGGTTTAATAATGGGTAGTGTTGGTGTTGACACAACCCACGGTTTTAGTGCATGTGTCATGTTTAGGTAACATGACTCGTTTTATCTATTTACCTATTTGAACCTATTAAACTCAAAATAATTCCTATTATTTGTACAAATTATTCATTCACATCCATGAAAATTATTAAGTGAAAATAAAAAACAGGCAAAAATACAATTTAATTCCATAATCCTAAGTATATTTCTTATTGCAACAAACCCAAGTAATCGAACAAAGAGATGATCCCATGGGTGTGCTGTGTTTGAAGAAAAAAGAAAGTTGCATTGTGTGTTCAAGATTGTGTTGTGTGGGTGTAAGTGGCATATATGTTTTATCAAAAAAAAAAAAAAAGTGGCATATATGTTGTGGGGGTGTGTTTTGTATGTGTTATTGTAGCATAACTTGTGACGAAAAATAACAAAATTGATTCAAAAAATAGAGAAATAACATCCTCCTTAACTATATATACCACTAAATCCATTACCATTCTATTTTACCAAAAATAATAAACTTATTGTTTAGCTTATTCTTTCNTAGTTGTGACGAAAAATAACAAAATTGATTCAAAAAATAGAGAAATAACATCCTCCTTAACTATATATACCACTAAATCCATTACCATTCTATTTTACCAAAAATAATAAACTTATTGTTTAGCTTATTCTTTCCCTTTTAGTTTTTTTTTTTTTTAAAATTTTTGTCCATTGTAACCATCCATATTAACTAAAAAAATTGGACCCAACAAAAAAGTTACCCTCATGCTAAATTTTGTGATAAATTTTTTGATCTGTCTTTGAACCGCACATGTACTAAAATAGCCCACCACAGGGTTTGTGTGCGCGAGTGAGAAACAGAGGGATACCTGGGAGGACTATGACGGTGTCGCTAGGGGTGATGAAGGTGGCGCTTGAGATTGCGTAACAGAGAGAGAGGAGGCGTGAAGGGGAAACACAGAGGCAGCAGGACTTTGATTGTGAGTTGAGAGAGAAGATTGGATGTGATGGAATTGGGGGGAAAATTTATAGGGATAAAATTCAAGTTCCCTTCTGTTTTATTATATCTATAAAGTAAGGGGGTGATCGTACCGCCTCGCTTCTCCGGAGGTCAGTGCCAAGAACATCCAATACCTAACCGATCATTGATCTGAAACCCTAGGTTTGTGTGTCTTCTTCATAAATCTAACTTTTTTTTTTTGTTTCTGTTTTGGCTCAGAATAATTTCTGAGGATTTTCCTGGAAAAGTCAGTGGTGCTGATCGGTGTCTCAGGTTGAATTCAGGGCTTGCAAAGAATTTCTGGGCAGAGGCAGTGAATATGACATGTTTCTTGATTNTTGTTTCTGTTTTGGCTCAGAATAATTTCTGAGGATTTTCCTGGAAAAGTCAGTGGTGCTGATCGGTGGAGTAAGAAATTTCTCTTTGAATTAACCGAATTGTTTTTTCGTCATTTCACTCATTTTATCAGATCCGTTCCTATTTCTATAATCCATAAGTCGTAGCCCTAGTTTTCTTAGGATTGATCATTGGTTTTACTGGTTGAGAAATTGTATTAGTCAAACAGCTATTAGTTGAATCAAGATTTTTGTGTACAAGAGTGTGTACTTTCATTTTGTATTATGAATATTTCAAATGTCTTATGGATTATTACGTGTTATTTATTTGTTAATTTCTTCTGCCGCATAGTTCATGAGGAATCTTTGGGATTTTCATGTTATTATAGACACATTTTGAAACCTATGCAAACACCCATTAGGCGGCCTTCTGTTAAGTTTCAATTTGGGTTGATGTACTAGTGCTTTCTTGTTATGGTCTATCGTAACACTGGATTAGAAAATTGGGTTAAGCAAATTGTTTCCAGCTCCATATGAAACTCACTGTACGCTTTGATACTCCCAAGTGCTAGACATTAAAGAAATTGAAAGCTAGTTAGCCCTTATTTTTAATTTTAGCTTTTGGTTTGTATTTGTTTCCAAATCCAATCTATTTTCTAGAGATTCTTGTGTTCTAACTATCAATTTGGGTTCTATATTTGGTTTATGTAATATAGTTCCTGGATGCAGTACTAATGTAGATCGTATTAGCTCTGATTACAAATTGATGTAAACTAGGAAGGGAAAAATTAGGGATGAGAAGAGAAGAAGAAAGAAAAGAGAAAAAAAGAAGAAAGGGATGAGAAAAGAGAAAGAATTTGAGAAGAAAACAATATCAGTATTCCATAATAATCAGTAATAATCAAAGTCTACTAAAACAAATACCTTATATATATATAAGGAGAGCACAAACCCTAACATAAATAAATAGTCAAAATGACAACTAAGCTTTTGAAAAACAAAATGACAAAAAACTTCTAATCTCTACGTTTGCGTCTACTATAATGAAATATAATCCGATTTCTATCAAGTACACAATAAGTTTATTTATGATGTTTTTAAGAAACTTAAAAGCTATCAATTTTCTTTTAAGAGTGGATTCCAGTATTTTGGCGGTCCCTCTTGTTTCATGGAATTGGTACACCCCTTTACAGTTTAGTGTTTTATTTTGATAAATTGATATATTTTACTTCATGTTTCCATGCGTTTAAAAAATTTTTGCATTCAAGTGGACGCATAAATATTGTTTCTTTACAAACTTTTTAAAACTCGTGATATGCTTTAAAGTGTACCCAGTAGTCAAGTGCCCTTTTTCCACTTTTGGAAGGCACACACCCTTTCGTTTACTGTTTTCATAGTGTTAAGTGGATTTAGTTTACCATATCTTTATGTTTTGCGCATTGAAATTTGGCTTGTGAGCTCTTTTTTGTATCATGAATGAACAAGATAGTATAGCGTTCCCATAAATAATGGTCTCCACATATGAACTTTGATTGCAGATGATCTGGTGTTCTTTGGTTGCAGACTAGTAGCTGATAATTGTTTTGTTATATTTGTTTAATTGTTTTTGGAAAACCTTTAGAAGATTCTCCAATGGATTGATTTATTGCAGTGTGCATGATTGGTTTATGGCAGTGTTTTAAAATCCGGCCCAGTCCGATGAGGTAACCTGGTGAACCGGTGCCTAAATCGGGCCGGTTCATCTATTGGATCGGTATGCACCAAAACCAGAGCAAACCCGGAGACTCATTAAAAAATGGTAAAAACCGTTAAACCGGACGAGTTCACTAAACCGACCGGGTTTTGTATTTAGTATAAAAACTAATTTTGGGGTCCTTTTGGGCATTTTTGCCTTCTGCCCTAATTTTTCATTTCCTTCCCCGTTCCCCCAGCCAGCCCCTCTTCGCGAAGCAGCGAACAACCCCGCCCCCTCTCTCTCTCTCTCTCTCTCTCTCTCAGAGTATCATCAGTCTCTCTCTGCCTCTGGTCTTTGCTTCACCTCCATTACAAGCACGAAGACTCGAATCAAATGGGAAGCAACTTTCAATCCCTAACCTTCTTTATTGCGATTTCGATTTTTGAAGTAGAAAACAACGTCACCTTCACTGCTTCAGAGCTCCATCTACATCGAGGCAACAAACCAACGACGACCACCAGGCACCGCAACAGGTATACTACTGACGCATACTCTCTCTCGGTCTGTCTACTGACTCTATTCTCTCTCTCTCTCTCTTAGTATATATTTGATTGTTTATTTGTATTTTGTATACATTGAATTTTGATAATTGATACTGCTATATTTTTTTACATTGGGTTGTATTTTTTTTGTGGGTTGCATTATATACATTGAATATTGATAATTGATAATGCTATATTTCCAGAACTGTTGGTTGATCTAAGTTTGATTGAACAACTATAATCCAATCTTAGCTCTTGGGTTCTTACAAGTTCAATCTCAATCGCTACCCATTTGTTCTCTCAGTTTTGTCTTCTCACTCTGGAAACAATAAATTATAAGAAACAATTTTATGTAGTACAAAATTTCTATTACTGGTTTGTCAGTGAATTGAAATTTGTCATATTTATTGTTATTACCAGGTGGGTTTCCTCAAAATTATCAAAACAATGTACGTTCAAGCACTTTCAACTGCAAAGTTGTCAAATTTATCAGCCCAACGCTTTGTCCATTGCTCTGCAGCAATAGACAAGCACAACAATTTTGTGTCCAATTCAATTTTCAAACCTCGGTTTTGCAATTCAGCAAAAATGGCATCTAGATCACTAAAAGGTTTGAGAAACCATGGTGGTTTGGTTGGTCTCAGATGTGAATGATCACAGGAAAAAGAATATGATGATGGGTATTATATAAGGAGGTGTGTAGAGCTTGCTCGGAAGGCTGTTGGATGTACCAGCCCTAACCCTATGGTTGGATGCCTGATTGTGAAAGATGGGAAGATTGTTGGTGAAGGGTTTCACCCAAAAGCTGGGCAGCCCCATGGCGAGGTAACTCTCTCTCCCCTTTCTCTCTCTATATGTGTGTGTAATATGTGTAAAGGGGAAGTGTATCTTGTTTTCATGTTGTGTTGTTCAATACCTATCATTGGGTATACATAATCCTTATCACATTATGCTATGTAGAAAAGATCTAAACTTGGTGAGTAGTCTGAGAGTACTTTCTTGATTGTGAGAGCAAATATCATCCACCTTTTTTTTTGAGGTAATTCACAACTAATATGACCTGCTATTAATGGATGGAAACATGACAGAGATCTACAGTAATTAATCACCACCCAACTTTATATAAGTACTAGAACCACTAACCACCTGGTTGAGAGATATGTATATGATGTTGACAAACTCTGTTAAAATTGGAGGTATATTATGCAGACATGAGGGGGCTAAAGCTGAAGTTCAGGGGGTGCCAATATTTTTGTTTTTGAGTTGGTGCCACTGTTTCAGTCCAACCAATTGCTTTGCCACAACCAGTGCTGCTTCTGCCATCCAATAACTACATTTGTGGGCTATTGGCGATGCTAACGCCAATATTAGCAGCAACACCAAGCGTAGATGTATTATTTCCCTATTCACTTTCAAAACGGTATGAAAAATGTCTCATTTCATCCTATAAAAAAAGGGTTTCTTTTCAGTTGCGTGAAGATTATAATGGAACTAAAGCAAGGACATAATGGGTTCCAAAACTAAGTGTGGAGTACAAATTTTGAGAAACAAGAGTTCCATTGACAGAAATTGTGTTTATGTGGATAGTTGACAGAGTAGGACCAATTCTGGCAAAGTGAGATGCCCCAGTTGGACCTTACTTGTTAGGTGGTGAAACCTTTAGTCTCATCATGGATGATACTGGACTACTGGTAAACATAGGCTACACTTCCCATGGATTTTATATTATGTAGTAGTAGATGGCTAGAGCGGGACATTCATTAATTCTCTCCCCCAAAAGAAACTCATGGTGAAGAATATTGAAGACTTTGAACATGAAATGTTCAAGTCCCACCAAGGCAAGCTGTTGGAGTATGCAATGAGTTGGGATTGATCATGTATGAAGTAGTTTTTTACTGATAACATCCCATCATGGACTTTAAAATGGACACTGGTATTCTTCTCTGCAATTTTGTATTCATTTTACATGAACTTCAAGTTTGTATGATTTATCAGATAAAAGAGCAGATAGAGAAATTCTGCTAGTAATTTGAACCACGAGGTGCAAACTGCAGGTTTTTGCTTTGAGAGATGCAGGAGATGTTACTCAGAATGGGACTGCATATGTTAGCTTGAAACCATGTAATCATTATGGGAGGACACCTCCGTGCACTGAAGCATTTATAAAAGCCAAAGTGAAAAAGGTGGTCATTGGGATGGTGGATCCAAACCCAATTGTGGCTTCAAAAGGGGTGGATAGACTACGAGATGCAGGGATTGATGTGACTGTTGGTGTTGAGGAGGAATTGTGCAAGAAGCTTAATGAAGCATATATCCATCAAATGCTTACAGGAAAGCCCTTTCTTACACTGAGGTAATTTATCTTTGTATGGAGAACCATGTATTTAATTGACTCATTATGGTGTTTTGCGTGTCTGCGTGTATAATATGGTTTACTTCAAATTATACGGGTTACAATTGATATATCTATACATCATGGCCACAATTTACTTGACAAAAGTATAGATTGACTTCAAATAATCCTATAATATGCATGAAAGATGTTTCTTGCTGAACTGCAGATACTCTCTCTCAGTTGATGGCTTTTTTTCTGATTAGATTGGTGAAGAAGTAGCGGAGTGTGGAGGATAGTACTCAACATTGTTGCAAGAATATGATGCTATAATACTATCTCACTACTCATTAAATTCTTCCTTTCCTGCCTCTAAAGAACCTGGGGCGAATCAACCTCTCAAGATTGTAGTAGCCGAAAGTCCTACTTTCCCTATTCAAATTCCTGTTGTCAACACCGAAACTTCTTAAGTAGTAATCTTTACGGACAAAGAGGCAGCTGTGGAACCTGAAACAGCTCAAAATGGAATTGAAACAGTGGTTTTGGAAAGGTTAAATTTAACTACCATTCTTGAATATTGTAAGCATCAAGGACTGTGCAGTGTTTTGCTGAATTTAAGAGGAAAGTCTGGTGGTTTTGAAGAGATTCTGAGAGAGGGTTTTGAGCAGAATCTAGTGCAGAAGGTTGTGGTGGAAGTGCTACCAATTTGGGGTGGAAGTACAGAAGAGGCATTGCCAGTGGCATTACAGAACCTGCGGCGAAGGTTGAAGAATTTAACTTCAAGGAAATCAGGTGAGAGTTTGGTGTTGGAGGGATACTTTTGAAGGCAGTGACTGGCAGCTTGGGGAGTGTTTCAAATTATTGGAACTTCTGTTCTTGGGTAGGTTCTATGCTGCGATTGTGATCTCAGGAGGGAGGAATAGAATGACTACAGTGGGATAGAAGGAAAAGACCTGAAAATTCTTGTCATGAATTTTTTCCTTTATTTTTTTCTTCCTCTGTTACTGAAGATGGACAAAATTTAGCCTCCAATTACTGGTCTTGTGCATATTTGTGGCATTTTTCCCCCCCTGGTAGGTGCAGCATTTGTATGGAAATTATTAAAGAGAATGGGGGGAAACATGCTTTTGGGTGGTAATGGACATGTATGTATTTATCTTGGGATTCTTGCCTTCTGTTTATGGCAAAATGCTGAAAGAGTAATGCTGCACCTTAAAAAATGCCTTATTCGTGGGATTGTTGCTCTGGAGGCTGTTGGAGAGAGAGAGAGATAGAGGGGCATACTCTACTAATCTTTTTAAGTTATGGATGACAATTTTGATATGACATGAAGCAGAAACTATGACCATGATCTCTGATTAATGAACGGGGCATGAATCAGAAATCGCAGGATAAAAGTTAGACATGAACTCTAAATTATGAGACCTGAACATGACATAGCATAACTCGATTTACCTAAATGGTCAGCGAACTAGGATGCCCCTTTCTTTTTGATGTTAATTGTGCTTGAATCTTTTTCTCATTGGTTATAGCGCCCTGGATGTTATTGTGAACCAGCGCGCACAGCTCATCAAGTGCGGGCATGAGTAAGGGCTCCTCTGCAAGAACACCCACCTGCAAAGAGGAAGGTCCACAGTCCCAACACAATGATTCCTATGGGCAACCAAAATCAGATATACATTTGAGAGAGAGAGAGCCAAAAAAAAAAAAACACCAATTTTGCAAAGTCAAACATGGATGATTAAGTTAGTTGGTGTGATTTTGTATGAGACTCACATTGCGGAGCCAGCCAAAGTTCTTCTTATCTACCTAAATGTTTATATTGTACATTCTATTTCACCAAAAGCAGTTTTATCCACCAATCACAAGATCACTGAGATGTTTGACTCAACTCTTAAAAAGGGTTGTAGAAGAGAACGATTAGCTCGAATATTAATTTATCTCATTATTATTTCAATAAAAAAAATTGACAAGAAAATTATTTTATTCACAAAAAATTCAATTAGGATAATCTCAATGGATTGCTTAAGTGGTAGTAAGGCTGAATAATTAATTTTATCCACTTTTTTCATTCTAATTCCGACGTTCACTTCCTCCTCCAAGACTCAGACTGAAACTACCCTCAACTGCAGATCATCTTGTACCCAGAAGAGAACATCAGCCATGGAAGAGCCTAAAGCTTCTCAAACCATGGCTCAGAACCTTCCTCCCCAACCTCTACAGGGTAACAAAAGACCTCTTGACAACATTGCCCACTTCCAAAACTCCAAGTTTTCAACTATTACAAGATACGAGCCGTTGTCAAAGATCTTCGTCCCCATTTTGTTGAGGTAAAGAAAAATTGTTTTCATTAATATGCACCACTTCATCTAGTTTCCTGAATCTCTAATGATTGCATTTGTGGGTTTCTCTAAATTCTCTGCTTCGATTGCCTATCAATGCCCCTGGATGGTAGCAAGATTGTCGTATTTATTCTTTATAGTTTTTTGCGATTTCGTTTCTGGGTTTTCTTTTCGATTTTACAAGATCTTCTGGGTATAATTGTTTAGTGCATCTTATGTTAGCATTTTAAGAAAGGTTTCATTTTGGGGTTCTTGTGCGATGCATTGTACAGCCTTTTAAGTTTGATCTTCCATGAAAGATTGACAAGGTTGCAGTATCTGTGGGTTTTTGGAAAATTTACCAATTTTTTTGGTGAGTGTAACTTGTTTCAATCTAGGCTTATATTCTTTGTAGATGGACTGTAATTATTTGTCTAAGGCGCTGTCTTTTGGGGGTTATGTGGGTTTTCAGATCTTAATCCCATCTTGCTTCCTGTATTTTCTTTTACTCATGATTTTTGTATCATGTATTCTCAATTTTAATGTTTTATCAGCATAACTGTGTACCCAACTTTGTATGTGCTACTTATTACACAACCGGTCCTCATTTCTAATAACGGAAGAAGGATGCTTTGGGAAGCTAACAACCAACATAAAAACTTGTCGGATCTCTTATAAATAAGTATATTGTTTATAGTTTAGGTTGTTGGGGCACAACCCTCAACTGTACAAGGGCAAAGGTTTTTCTCTTCCTGGTAATGAAAGGACACTGCATGATATGACGAGCAAAATTCGTATCAAGAATTGATAAAAATGGGCCGTACTTCTGGAAGTTTGATGCTTTTTGACTGAATGTAGAACAGGGTGTGTGTTCATGCATAATTTCAAAGACGTGACCTTTCGAATGGTGAATGGTTGCCATGGATTAACTAACTTTAGAATCATGACATTTAGATGGTAATTAGGTATGGAGAGGCATCCTTCATACAATCGTATGTGACATTTATTACCAGAAAAGGTTTGTCACAAATGACAACCACGACAACTTACACTAAAGACTAGGTACACTTAGCTGTAAGTTGACTTGTATACGTAAACTTACAATTACAATGCGCCATTGGGTTTTTTTATCTTTAGAAAGAAATAAAATACTAAGATAAAAGGATCATTGTTTATGGATTTAATGTAGAACAAAAATTGATTATACAGGATTGTTAAGCCAAAATTCATATACCTTATTCTTCTAATGCATGGACGGTTAGGAAATTTTAGGCTTGCAGCTAAGGTTACATCAACCTAGATAGGGTTTGGAGGGAATGAATTCCAAATCAGGGTGGAGTGTTAATGGTATTGCCCAGAAATATTAGTGTCTCATCCAGAATTTTAATCTATGCCTCTTTAGGGCGATGATTTACTGAGAAAATTAGAGTTTATTACTGAAAGGTTCGAAGGTTGTCAAGTTGAAGAAGATTGATTAAGATATGGTTGATGGGATGAGCAGTTATGTATATCCCTGAATTTCCAGAAATTCAGGGATGTACAGAATATAAAGAATGTAAACTGAATCAAACAACTGCCTCAGCATATCTAAATTGTTATTCATAATGCAACGAAGCACTTATTCCAGAGGGGACAGCCATTTTCATGAGCACTTCATTTTCTGCAACCTTTTTTTTTGAGGTTGCCTGTCTAGTTCTTGATTAGGTTTTTTAGTAGCTTCTATTTCAATGAATGTTAGTCTAGCATCGGTTTTATGACTTTATGTATGCAATCGGCTGTCAAGCAATAAGAAACAAACATTTTATTAAAGAATAAAGTGAAGAAGTACAAAAAAAATGGCTAAAGGTGGGCAAGAAATCCATCCCAAAGCCTCGAAACAGAAGAATAGTGCTAAACATAACATCATAGTGTCAAAACAATGTGCAAGCTGCTTTCCAATTCCCCATGATGCAAAAGAGAGGGACTCTCTCAAAGTCTCTACTCACAGGAGCCCAAAATCTTGTGTGCGCGATTTCTATGCTTGAAAATTCAACTCCTAAAGTGTAAACTGTTCCTTGTACCAAAAGCGGTGGCATCCTCAAGGCAAGGACAAATCCTATTTGGAAGTAAGAGGATAGTTCACTTATTATCCAGAGTCTAATTAGACCCAAGCACAGTTAGTCTTGAGCAACAGAGTTAAACACACTGTAGCCAATTTACATTGCAAATTCAACATTTTCAGAGCAGAAGATGGAATATTATATCTCGAAAACCACTTACAAACTTAAAGAGTGGAAGTCGGCAGGGGTGGTTTTCACACTGCATTTCTTGGGAACAACTAGCACACATGGGTGTCAATGAGTGTTGGTAGATTGCAGTAACAATTGATTGGCCTAAAATGAACAGGAGTGTACCTGTTATTTGTAAATAACTGGGCAGATACCATCTTTGTGACCCTCTTCAAGAATCACTGTGAAGATGAACAGGAGTGTCTTATATTGTCAACTACAATATGTTGTTCCATATTTGTGGGACTATAAGAAGATTTGACACTGGATAGAGAAATTCATGATTCTAGATTCCAAGAAAAATAATGCTCTAAGCTCCATCTCGGCTGGTATCTTGCTCTTGAGGGGGTGGAGTCCTGGAGCGAACTACTCTCTGATGTGTTGCCCTCCAACCCAAGGAAGGGCATTTGGTGAGGAGCGTTGTTTTAAGGGATGAAAAGCATGGTTGACAAACCACTTCGAGGACCGACCACTTGGTTTCAGTAAATCGGGGTATGAGAAAAGAGTGTTTTGTAATGAATTCTTCAATCTTGGGAGAGAAGGGAATGAGGAAAAGCAATCAAATTAATGCAGCATTCATGGGCATAGTTATCAGAACCGGACCGGATATCAAATCGACAAAAAGACCGGGTCAATAGTTCAACCGTTGGGTTACCTGGTCAGACTGGTTGTCTAATAAAAAAAATAATAAATATTATTAATAATGATGAATACATTAAAATTTTTGAATAGGTACAAAAAAATATTTTTATGCTATAGTGGATCAAATAAGAAATTAAGAACACAAAAAATCACAAATCACTTCTTTTCTTAAATAATTTATAAAATCTAATAGAATATTAACAATCCACACATAGCAGCCTCCTCATGAACCATGAAACCACCTCCTCATGAAACTGATCACTACTGGAGATCAAAGACAGGAATACAAGAACAATGAAGATAGTATGAAACCGATCAGTCTCCTCATTGCGACTCCCCAAAGATGATGTTGGCTTTTTTTTTTTTTTGGTCAGACCATCCGGTATCCGAAAGCTATTTTTGGGTTCCGACTAATCTGGATTCGAGCCGGGTAAGATCACAAGGGCGGCAAAACTCTCCCTATCGAACGCAATTGCGTTCCCAAGACTCGAACTCGAAACTTTGGTTAAGTTAGAACAATCCCTCACCAACTGATCTAACGCTCGGTGATCTAACGCTCGGTGGTAGGATGATGTTTGTTTGCGCAACAACAAGCCAACAATGTACACACAGACAAATCATAGACAGAGAGAGAAGACTCAAGTGGAGAGGATAGATAGAGATTTCAGTAGGTGTTGAGATCGGATGGACCGGAGGCAGCGATCAAATGGACTGTAGAAAGAGAGAAAGAAATGGAGTGGAGAAGAAGGGGACCGACTGGATTTAAGACAAAATTAAGAATTTTGGGCATTTTATAGAAATGGCAGTAGAACTGGCCAATTTGACAAAACCATCCGTTTCACGGTTTTTGTCAAACACCGGCTGGTTTGACGGCATACTCCAGTTTAATTGTCTAGGCGATCCAATTCAAGAACCGGACCGACTGAGATCCTGATTCATAGTCAAACCAATCGAACCGGCCAAATTGGTTCGGTTCTGATAATATTGTTTGTAGGAGTTAATCCTAGAATCTCATAAGGAAAGGCGGTGCCGGATTAGCCGTTTTATGCTATCCGAGGTACCAAACATGCCTAGACAGTTTTTTTAAAAATAAAATTACCAAAATGACCCTTAAACTAAAAACTTATTTCAATTAAGTACCTAAACTTAAATTTATCTCAATTAAACCCTCCAATATTATAATTTGATTGAATTTACCCTTTGTGTCTAATTCCATTAGATTTTTTAATAGAATTGAACCATGTGTCATTCCATTAAGCCTGGACACTCGCTAACTGAAAAAAAAAAAATTAATCAATTTTATTCCTCTTATTTTTACCTTCTTATTCCAATAATCAAATCCCAACGCTAAATCTTACAACCATTTAGTCGTTGTCCAATGCCCATTAATCAAAAACGCTGTCCATATGCTCCTCCCTTCCTTACCCTCGTATATACCTCTCCTTCTACACCCTATGTGCTCTTCCATCCTCCCCTCGGCCATCTCCCATTCTTTTGTCATATCAATTTTGTCAATTTAATATAAATTTATCTGAAACGTGTTTAACTTTAATAATTTGAACCATAATCTGGTGAAATAAGTCAATTTTATCTTGATAAATGATCACCATAAATCTCACTACATGTGATAGGACGCAACAATAATTAGATTGAATATGATTCTAACAATTTTAGTGCAACATACCTGAAACGAAACGTGAGAGAAACACCATAAATCATGACCTATTTATCGGTCTTACTTGCATTGCCTTGAAAAGATTTTTGCAAAATAACAACAAATCTAGAAGATTTATAGCATTTATAGTGCTTAAACAATTTAGTCAATTATCAAGTATGATAAAAAAAAAGAGAGAAAAGAATATTCACACTACCATTGAATAATATACATCGGGTATTTTAGTTATCAAAATGATAAAGGAGAAAAAAAAAACAGTTCAACTTGATGGAGTGGAAAACTGCAATTCAAGCTTGAGCCTGATCACAGGGAAGGGGGAAAGAATTCAGAGAAAAATGCATGGGGTAATTGTGTTGAATGACCACACCTAATGTTAGGTTGAATAACTCTTATCGGTAGTGCAGTGATCGAGGTCGAGTGTAGGCTTGGGTAACCCAGATGTTTTAAACTTATTTTCTTTTTACATTATCTAAAAGTTAGTCACTTTTTTTTTTTTTTTCCGCTCAGTTCAAATTATGGTGGTCAGTCGTTCAGCTTAAAGAAATAATCGATGCAAACTTATATACTCTGTAATAAATTTTTTTTTTTATAACATTAGCAATAACTTTTGTAATAAAAAGAATCGAGGTGCAATCATTTCAACAATTATATTTTAAATAATAATTTTTGCTCTTTTTTATTTTCTTTTATTTAAGAGATGTAGGAAAAAAATATGCGAATTAATAAAATTGTCTGACATTGCGGTAGTTGAGAAAATGATATTTTTAAACGAAAAAATTTAGAATAAATTTTATACTATTCAATTAAAATGGATAAAAATTAAATTAATCTTTTTTCAAAAGTTTATCACTAAAAAAAATTACAATAGATCACTTCTGGTTATATATCCTTGCATGGGCAACAGGACCACATCCCTCGAAGATATTTTTAGGGCTAATTACACAGGATCCCCTTAGATTTAGGATTAGTGACACATAACCACGTTGAACTATTTCGAATTTTTTTTAACTCCCTCCTACTTATAAATAAACTGTAAATTTAACAGAAAATGTGAATTTCAATGGGGTCTGAGTTACATGCGCCAATCAAATTTTGTGAACTGTGAATGTGTTAATAATGTATGTTCAATATGACAATTATACCCTTTTAAAGTTTATTTTTTCTTTTTATAAAAACAAACCAAAATATAACTCATAAGAGTCAACCCTAGTGTTCTATTCTCCAAGTGCAACATGTCTCTCTCTATCTCTCTCACACACACACACGTGTCGATGTCTGTGCAATTCGGGTAGGAGAACAATTATTGCTCAATATAATTGGGCGGCGAAACTATGTTGGAAGAGAACTCTATCAAGGCAGAGATTGTGGTTTTATGGTGGTGGAATTGGCGATGGTGGTGGATTTTGTGGTAGTAAGGGTGCGAATGTGAGTTAATGTTGTGTACTTTTTACAATAATTAGAACGTTGATTATTGTTTAGTGGTAGAGCCCGTGGTATTGAGGGTATGATTGTGGTGAGATCAACGGTGGTTGTGAAAGGTGGGTTGTGGAGGTATGATTTTTTTTGTAATTGGCATATTTTCGTTTGTAATCTAAACAATGAAATCATATCTACTTCAAATGAAAATTCCGATAACATTGAGAAACAAATCAAAGTAGAGAAGAATGGGAGATGAGTGTCCTCGTACTTTTAATGCTTTCATGCTGGAATAGGAATGAGATAATGGGATATGGCCAATAGGCGGATAAGCCACATGTCAACAAATTGGGTAAGGGGCACGTGAATATAAAGTTATTATATATATATATATATATTTTTTTTTTTAATTTTTTTTCTTAATTCTTTTTTGGGTTCTAAAGAATCGTGATTATGAAATTATTGTGGTCGATATTAACATAATTTTTTAAACATTTTAAAACATGGCATATCTAATCAACCGAAGGCAAAATACACAAAAAATTGAATTACACAAGATTTTAGTAGTGTTTTTTTTTTTTTGGGGGGGGGGGGGGGGAATTGGCAGAGAACTTTCTGATAAAAGGGAGCTTCCTTGCTAAGTGACGCTAACCTCTAATCCTCAAATATTTTACCCCCACTGCTGCCTCATCACACATAAATNTGATGCATTTTCTTTAATTTATCCCCAAGTCAGAATAAATTATATATTCAAAAGTCATACTTCAAATCAAATTTAAAGATTATATGCACATCTCACAATAAGTCCAAATACACACTTAAACTTTGAAACGGCCTTAGGTATTGAGGGAGATTGAGACGAGTAATATTAAGCTTATAAAATTATTTATTAAATTTTATATCTTAAATTATTATTAGTGGTTGAATTAGCGAGATCTATTGATTTTTACTAACATATTCAAAGGATTTTAACACATCGTTTGAGATACAAATATTTAATAAATAAATTTAGAAAACACAATTTTATCCGAATGAGATTTCTCACGCTTGAAATAAGATATTGGAATTTTTTCTTTTGACATTATTTACTTATTAACATCAAATTTAATTTTTATTGAACTATAAAACATGTGATAAATTGTGTGTTGCTTAAGTACTTCGAAACTCTTCATTTGAGCCTCTAAAGATTCAAACCCACAAAGGCCAAAGCCCATATCTCTCTACATGGTGTAGAAAATTTCGCATCTTTTCGTTCTTTTTGTGTAATGCCATTGACTTGAAGGGTGTTTCTTTGTTGGGTTTGAGCTGTTTTAGTTGAAGGTTCTTTTGTTGGTTTGTGGGTTTGCTTTAAAGATGCTAGGTGTTTACAACGGGTTGGTGAGCCTTCATCGACAATTCCACCTCATGGATTAAATTTGGGTGCACCATCTGATGTTACACGGGGTGAGCCCGTTCCAAGAAAAAGGGGAAGGCCTCGAAAATACGGGCATGATGGAATAGTGTCACTGGGATTTGTCTCGTTCTTCGGTTACACCTCCGGCCAAGTTAGCGCCAGTTCAGAAGTGGGGTAGAGGGCGGCCACCTGGGACTGGACGAAAGCAACAGTTAGGTTCTCTTGGTACGTATTGGTGATGATTTTGATTTTTAAGTCAGTTGGATTAATGATGAAGAATGATGTACTATCCAACGCTCCTACTAATGGTTGAATTTGCAGCTTTACAGATATATGTTCTCTGTTTAATTAACGGTTAACCCCAATTCGCTTCGACTTGTCCTTCCAAAAAAAAGACAAAAAAAAAAAATTAACTCCAAGGGGCAAGGGATAGTTCAGTAATTGTGTAGGGTATTTTGGACAGGAGGATAGTATGCGGTCACGAGGAATTAAAGGGTGCCCTAAAGGCCCGAAGACCACCTTGTTAGCCAAAATAGAAAAAGTTCTATGTTTGGCTGGAGGATTTCTTAAAATATCGTTGTAGTTGTAATTTGAGTAGTTCTCTCCTACCATGCATCTTTTTCATTGCTTGTATAGTATTCTTGCTGTTGATCATTATGATCATGGATTAAATGCCACTCTTGGTCATGCCATTGGTGAGGTCTTGGCCCGATTTATTAGTGGCTATAGTTCATATCTTGTGATTTGGAAAAACAAAGTGTTAGAAATGTTAAACATTGGAAAATAACGATAGATTTCGGCTTCGGCCATCCATTCAAAGTTCAAAACACCCGATGAGTTTCTTGGTTATATGACAACTTAAGCGGCCCATTCGTAGTGTGCCCGATCCGTCATAAAAGTGGGTCACAAATAGATCCCAAGCCGCTCCCATCACGCCACGTGTCTAGGGGACATAGAGATCCTAACAAACAAATATTCCATAGTAAAGAAAATATTTGTATACATACCATTTTGAGAATCGTGGACACAAAGTGCGTCAGGATGATAGACTCCATTACAGGACAAACGAAGAGGGGACCACAGAATCAACCAAGAAAATGAAGAATTATAGAAAACCTTAGATGACCACATGTATAAATAAAAGATGAAAACACTGTATATTAGAGGCTCCAGAATTTTATTTGTAATACACTGTATACTAAGGCTATGAGCCAAGAAACCTACTGTAACTACTATCTTCTTCAAGCAATACAAACACCCAAGGAACAAGAGTCTCAATTGCAGTGGATGTAGCCTTGATTTATCGGGTAAGATGAACTACTTATATTTTGCTATTTGATCCAACATTATCCCTCACTCCTTTATTAACCACACTGGCCCCATTGGGCCTCACACAGAAGTTGTTATGTTATTGGGGAACACCAATTTCGAGCACCATCAGATAGTATACCTAAAATAATAACAAATGGAAGACAGTATGATGTGACTGTTTGGAATGAATAGCCAGTCACTTTTAATATGGTTAAAAACTTCAATTTAATATTACATGTGCTTGTCACCTGGAACGGTTTTTTTATATTGCAAATCCTGAATGAAAGATGAAAGTGTTGATAACTATTGAAGAAAGCTAACTATTTACATATCTTTTTTAAAAATTTTAGGATTTTGGGACTTAATTGCATTACTGATTATCTACATTTTTGCCTTGCTAATTTTTCTAGGTCAATCGATATCTGGTTCAGCTAGAATGGGATTTACTCCACATGTCATAACCATTGTTGTAGCAGAAGTATGTTCCCTTGCCAATCTCAAATTGTTTTGTGCTTTAAGGTTGAGTTGCCAAGAAAAACACAAGTTACCCCATAGGTTATCTCTTTTAGTACTAACATTTTAGAGCAAAAATTAGCATGTCCAAGACCTTTTATAGCATGGGGATGCAACATTTTTCATTGAAGTGATGTGGTTTAAGTCTACTTAAATAGTTGAGAACATCCTTGAGGGGATTCCTTCCTCCTCCTTCAGCTCCATTCTCCCACGATGGAGATTCTCCTATCCAAGAAGATAAGGGGGGAAACCAGAGTGTGGACCATAAGAGCCATTTCAATGACCCCTCCAAAGGAATCCCCATTCACTAGGATAAGAAAATAAAGGAAGTGTAGAACCAATTGAGTTATGTCTTCGGACATGAAACTGTTGAATACCTAGTCAGGCGTACTAACACACCCTCTCCCCAAGAAGTTCAAAATGCCAACGGTGGAAGCCTTTGATGGCTCAAAAGATCCATCAGATCACATCGACACTTACAAGTCTTTGATGCAGTTGTACAACGTTCATGACGAGATCATGTGCAGGGCCTTCCCAACTATCCTCAAGGGATCTGCTCTGCAGTTGTTTGCCAAGCTTACCTCGGCCTCCATTGGCTCGTTTGCTGAACTAAGAAAGTTCTTCGTCTCACATTTCATTGGAGGACGATGACACCAGAAGCCTGTCATCCACCAGCTCAGTATCAAGTGGGACCGAGATGAAAGCTTGCCTAGTTACCTCACCATTTTAACGAGGAGGTCCTCTAGATTGAGGAGCCCTATGAAAAGGTCACCATGATCGTTTTCTTGAGAGGCCTACGTTCATCTTGTTTTCTCTTCTCAATGATGAAACACGCTATTATGTACCTCTTGATGATGCACAAATCGGCTTTGTGTAAGATCAACAGTCAAAAATGTATAAGAGTGCAATTAATGGACAATAAATAGCAAAAAAGTAAATAAGAGTCAACATAAGGTTTATAGTGGTTCAGTCCGGATGACCTACTTTACTTTAGGGAACGGCAGTGGTGGCCGAAGTCTTTTATTAATGAATAATGTGACCGAGAGAGCAACTCCGGGAGTATTGCAGTGCTTGGAAGAGAGGAGCAAAGTGTGTGTAGAGAGGTATGTAAAAGTTTCAAGGTCATGCCCTCTATGTGTAGAGGGCTTACATTATATAGGTTCACTAAGGCAGTGAGGCGGTAACGTGAAGAAGAGGGTTGCCACCATTTTGGTAAGTACAATTATGGTAGGATTAGATCTTCGTATCTTGATATTTTCTCCTCGTGCTTCTATTCTGTCAAAGGAAGCTCTTGAGCTGGAATGAGCATGATCTTAACCTTGGACTTTGAATTGGAGTAGGCTTGGACTAGCATTGAGGTCAAGAGGATGGAGGAGGACCAGGGGGCAGCCTTGGGCGGCACCTGGCTTGGGTGACCCCTGGGCGGCACCCCTTTGGCTCGTCTCTGGGGCATTGGCCCATTGGTGCCTTGGACTTCCTCCTGATGGGTTGATCCAACTTCGATTGGGCTCTCCTTTGGACTTTCTCGATTTATTTAAATTGGGCTTAGCCTAGTCAATTTTGGGCTCATCACCTCTCTCTCACACTCATATGATGTCTCTTTCTCTCTCCCTCAGTCTCCTCTCTCAGTAACGCCTCTTCTTTTTTTTTTTCTCTCTCTTTCTACACAAAAAAACACTCACACATGCACAAAAAACACACACATGCACAAAAAACACTCACACACAAACCATTGCTGACTCTCTCTCCACTGTTCATACCGCTCGGACTCTTTGCTGTAATTCTTTGCTGCTCCAATTGATTCTAGGTACATGCTGAAACTCTCTATTTCTCTCTAGCTAAAATTTCTGAGTTTTGGTTCGTTGAAAATTCTTATAATTTACTGCTTCTTTGTTGGTAGTTTTATCAAATTTTTGTGTTAGATAACAATTCTCTTTCTCTGCGGCCACTCTCATCTCTTTCTCTCGCTGCTTCTCTCTCTCTCTCTCTCCCAGCACACTCACATCGCACAACGCCTACAAGGCATTCGATCAAATGCCACAAAGTATAAATAGTTTTTTGCACGAGGAGAAAACTCATATAAAATATGAATTTAAATAGTACTTTTGTGCATATAACATGTATGCATAAATTACTCACAAACATATAGTTGTATGTCCCCACAAAAGTGTTAGCCTGTCCAGAGGTCCATCATTGCACTTACACCAAAATCAGTGATTTTGACTTTCCCTCTGTGATTTATCAACAAATTAGAAGGTTTTAAGTCCCTATGAATGATATGTTTTTCATGATGAAGGTACCACATCCCCTTGAGCCCCTGAATTAAAAAGAAAAGAACAAAGAAACAAAAAAGGAACCATGTGAAGTATGTTAATGCTAATGAATACTATATATTTCCTTTGGCCAAAAATGTGGAATGAATACTTCCCACCTGCTTACAGATGGCAGCAAGACAAGGTTCTGGAATTGTTTTGACATGTTTCAAGAAATCTGCTAGAGAACCCCCATCCATGTACTCCAAGATTATAGAAATGGCACCATTCTCATAGAAGGACTGGTAACACACCACAACATTTTGACATTGTGATAACTGATTAATTTTGAGTTCTTGAGCAATCTGCCTGCGAGTAGATTCATCGATATTCATTTGAATAACCTAAATGTTGGAGATTATATCAGGACAAACTCTCTAAAGCAATAACACATAATGAATAGGAAAAAGACGTAAATGACAATATGTTGGCATACGGGTGATATAATGGTATATTGTTGCTAAGAAGAATTTATAAAGCAAGATGAGTTAGCTTTCAAGCCAGTCTAAAACATGGTGGACTAGCCAGGCCATAACGCAAACATTAAGAATTCTGAGTTTAACATGGGTTGACCATTAATCAACTTTATAGACAACGTAAATTGTGAAGGAAANATAGCCAAGTCATCTCAGAGCCACCAAACAAACAACCAAAACTAAGCCACCACTCCCACCCTCTTCCTCTCTCACGTGCAGTAGCCACCTGTTAGAGTATGTGTGACTCATATTTGCTGTGTGCATAATGGCAAGGAGGCAGATGCCGGAGCGGAGCCCGCGATGGCATCTGCCTTGCGAGATTTATATAAAGGGGATGCCGGTACAGGGGTATTTTTATAAATACATTCATATTAGGGTTATATAAATACTTAAGATGTAACCCTATTCTATAATGGAAAAGAACGGCCGCTCGCTCTCGTGGATGTAGGCACATTGCCGAACTACGTAAATTTCTGTGTGTTATTTTCTCCTGCTTTCTTAATTGTTTGATTCCTTACCATTCACCATAATTGCTGCACGATCACAACAATTGGTATCAGAGCTAG